GGCCCCCCAAAGTATCGGGCTTAGAACGATGCTGGCGGCAGTGGATGACGGCACTGGTAGGTGCGTGTTATCCGTTGACAGGGATGACTGGGACTTACAGTCAACACTTATTCTTGCGACGCATTTGGAGTTTGTACGACAGCAGGAAGGGAGGGCGGTAGGGTTGACGACGCGGAATGGAATGAGGAGAATGGACTTTGAAAGACTTGGCTTCAACAACAGGTCATGAGCCGGTTGAGCACCAGCTACTCCTCACCAGCAACATCGCCTGTGAAGGCCTTTTGGCCGGATTTGAAGTTGCTTCGTCTCGCTCTCTCTCGCTCTCTTTCATTTCTCGCTCTCTCTCTCTCTCTCGATTTCTCTGTCTGTCTGTCTGTCTGTCGGTCTGTCTGTCTGTCGGTCGTGCGTCCGTGCGTCCGTGCGTCCGTGCGTCCGTGCGTCTGTGCGTCCGTGCGTCTGTGCGTCCGTGCATCCGTGCGTCCGTCGGTCCGTCCGTCCGTCCGTGTGTCTCTCAATCTCTCTGTCTCTCTCTCTCTCTCTCTCTCTGTCTCTCTCTCTCTCTCTCTCTCTCTCTCTCTCTCTCTCTGTCTCTGCATTCTGTATGTGAGCGCGGCTTGCCATGCGGGGACCATCAATGAGTCAAATACTCTTCGCATGACCTTGCATATGTGCTTGCAGTCCAGCCATGTGACAGGCTACCCACGCCATCTGACGCAGCCGGGCAAGTTCTCTGCGACCGCAGCGGCTTTCATACGGATACACCACCAAGTCTGAGAGTTAAAGTGTTAATATATATATATAATATATATATATATATAATATATATATATATATATATGTTACGTAGGATTATGGGACATGACATGCCGAATGCGCAGTACGAATTGTTTCGTCCAGGAGACTGAGGTGTTGCTGCGGTTGCATGGCTGCTGCCTGCCGTCACTGAGCGCTTGGAGTTTTGAGATAGCCGGGCAAGCCAGCGGCGAGTGGCGGAAGACGAACACTAGACAGCGCACTACGACATAAAGCTCTTTCGAAGTCTGTGCAGGAGGCTGTTTCCTCAACTCCTACACAGGGGAAGCGTGGGGAAGAAGGTGTGTTTGTTATTTCCCTCTTCTATATTTTTTTTAAGAGTCGCTGCTGGGAAGTCTTGGCCCGGCTTTCCGGGAGGATTTGAGGGATGCCAGCCCGAGGGGCTGAGGTTCCTTGGTCCTCCCGACCTCTCTAACGTCCCTGGCACTAAGAATGCCAGGGCGGCTGGAGTCTCTAGACGTCAGGGGGACTGAAGGCTTGGGGGGCTGCCTTATCACACTTTCGTAGATTCGTATCTCAGCTCTTTTCTTCGAGAGTTTCTTTGGTTCCATGTTCCCGTGATGTGTTGGGCCGTTCCAGGCCTGTGCTGCCCCTGTTTCGCGACTCGGTGGTCTTTCGAATCGCGCAGCGCCCTATTGAGGTTCCGTGTTCTTTTCATTTCCACCCGACGATGTCTGTAGTTCTTGAGAGCCATCTGCGAATTCTGCGATGGGCGCTGACACGCGCCTTCGTCTGCCATTTGAGTTCGCTGTAGGCTCTTCTTGCTTTGAAGAAGGTCTGTCCGCGCATATTCGTAGCATTCTGTAGTAGGGGCACCGGGTGCCTCAGCCTGTTCTGGGCCGACTGTGGGACATCGTGCCGTACCACAGGGATTTGCAGCTTTTTTCGCAGGACGCAGGGGTGTTGAGAGCAGACGGCAGTGAAGGTCAGTGCAGGGTGACCACACCCTAGCCTCAAAGCCTGTTCCAAGCATTCCAACTCTTTGAACCTTCGCAGGGGCTCTGCACTGACTTGGGACACCCTTTTGGTAGCACTGAAGATGGCAACACTTGCCTGGCGCATGCATGTCTTCAAAGGACATGCAACTGTGTGGCAAGCAGCCACGGTATGGTGTCCAGTTCCGTTGGAGGACTGTCTTTTTTTGTGCGAGCCGTGACATGCCGTGATCAGTCCGGCTCCAGCATTCAGCCCACGGGGCCCACCCCCAACCTGGCACGTAGTGCCCTGTCATCGCGTCGCAGGTTGCCTGGTCAGAACGAAAGTGTACCGGCCATGCATTTAGTTTAAGTTACAGCCGCAGCCACCGCAAGGTGGGCTGGGGATGAATTTAAGCCCCGAGCACGCCAAAGATCATCAGCATTTAGCCTCTTGCAGATCAGAGGTTTCCAGTGCTCCCGCGAAGGTAGGCTTGGGTTACTCTTGAGTTTCGTACTCCCGCATTTGCACGAGCGGCCTGGCCGTACCGTGGCTCGTAGCATCCGTGAGCTTGGGAGGTACCTCCCTGATGAAGGAGCTAATCAGCTACTGCCCTCTTAGCTATCATGTTGTATTAGTCCATGCGAGGGCTGCGAGCCAAGTGGACCTTTGCTGGCTCAAGGGATTGCCCCCTCAGTAAAGCTGCGCCGTGTGCGATGTACAGGGGCCGGCTGGGGTCTATGCCGACTTGGCAGCCAATTTCAATTCAGTGCATTCCCTAGGGGTGCCCATGGACATGCAAGACATGCAACAGATGACGCGTGCACTTTAAAGCAATGTGGCGTGTCAAGTTTCAGGTGTCGTGATGTCTTTAGTGCTTGTCTGCATGTACCGTATGGTTGCTCCCTGGCTCAAGGCTTCACTTCACGAAGATGGTCCAATTTTAATGTTTGTGGTTGACTGAATAAGCGGAGCGGCAAACACACAGTCATCACTTCTCACCATCATTCTTCCTTAAAATTAGCTGTCGTCTCCGATATCTCCGATGCCTGATGTCGGCTGCTGCGCCAGCCAGTTGCTTGGCTTCACTGATCACTGCTTGCTCGCCTCCAGACTAGAAGCATGAAGCTTGGCACAGGGCCTTGCGGAAAAGCTATAGCTGAACTTATCCGGTCGATCTCGTTGCCTGCTGTGCGAAGGAGCGTCATCCAAAAGCGGCGATTGGGTCGCAGCATCTTCCGATGTATCCATGTTGAACGCGCGTCTGCACAACCGCTCCTCAGACGCAGACGTAATTCAGAAGTAGTTGCAGACATGACAATTGAGGGACTGTGTGATGTGTGTGATGGCTGAAATAGAGCTGCAGTATGATGTCGCAAGTCTTTAGCTTGTCGGCTGCGACAGACTGCGGTGCCTTGCCAGAAGGCCAAAGAATTGATACATTCCACACGCCCGCAAAGCTGGATCCGACGATGAGCCCACCGGGAGCGTCTCGGCAGACTCTACTTCGAAGGTTCCCCTTCCGCCTCGGGGTTATGCAGAATATGCAGGATGCTTCCAGAGGTCTGCACGAACATGTCACAGGTCTCGGCGGAAGGACGCTCGCCATCACCGACGGAACGTCCCTCCTCCACTCCGTTGAGTTTCGACACTCGGGACACCCGGAGAAAGAGAGACGGCCAAAATATGCGAACGAGCCAGCAAGCGACATAAAGAAGAGTGTCGGGAAGGTCTCACACGGCTTGCAATAGGGAGGTCTATAAAGGAGCAGACTTTCTGCTCAGTGTCAGAGTCTTCCTGACAATTTAGGCCTGGAGACATAACAAATGATGCATCGATCATCAAGGAAGCGACGTCGGCAGCCCGGCCGGGCAATGTGGAATGTAGCGTGCGCATCACAGACGAAGGAAAGCCAAAGTCACATGTTGCTTGGTGCAGCGCCCACACACGTCATGAGTGCGGGAGGTAGAAGAGCTTTAAGAGGTTTAGGGTGGTTCCAGGACAGTCCCAGAGGGGGTGGGGGTGGGGGGGGGGGGTGCAAGGGCTTCGTTGGTGGGGGAGGGGGTGGTGGTGGTTTAGGGTTTAGGGTTTAGGGTTTAGGGTTTCGGGTTTAGGGTTCAGGGTCCCTCAACCGAAGGCGCAACACTCACAAAACAGGGTGTGAGGGGTTTTGCCGAGGGTGTTCACAGTCGGCCCCCCACTCCGGAGGGGCCGGACACGCCAGACGCCGGACAATATATATATATATATATATGGTACCCCCCCCCCTGGAGAATCTACCTCCAGAGGGTGGGGGTTTAACATATCTATACTTTAATCTATTAGCTTGAGTTGTTTTTTCTTTTCAGCCAGAGGGTGGGGGTTTAACATATATCTATTTTAATTTCTTAGCTTAAGTTATCTTTTTCTTTTTTAAGTCACGGTCTTCGTCCTTATGTATGTGTAGGATATAATTTCCTATATCATTCTCCTATATGCTGAGAGTGCGGTGTAAGTTTTTTTTTTTTTATTTTTAAGTGTGTGTCTTGTTTATAAGCAGTTGGGTTGCTTATAAGCACTGGGGTTGCTTATAAGCAGGATGGAGGGAGGGGGGGGGGGGGTTGGGGGGGTTTGGCCCCAGGACCTCTGAACCACCCCCCCCCCCCTGAAAGATCATCCAAGATGTCCTCATCTTACTCAGTAGAGCCCAAGACCTGTGAACATGAAAATGTTACTGAAGCATTTGGTTAAAGAGTGAGAAGTGTACGTGAACAAGTAGTTGCCATGAAGCGCGTGGGAGCGGTATCGGGCCTCATCTCCTTGGAGAATGGTGTCTGCAAACTTGAATTGGTTCAGAGCTCCTTCACTCCAAGCACTTCCGCATCCACAGCTTCTATGCCTAATCCCTCGTCTCCTCCACCGGTCATCTTCGCCCCACAGGATATGGCGTCTCGGTAGTCCATATTCTCTATCCAATCCAGACCAACCGCGCTCGCAGGTAAAATTCATGCGTCTGACATCGCAATAATTCGACCACACGCAACGCCATATATAAGATATGAAAATGGCATCTGACATGGCAATAGCTCAACCACACACAACGCCATAAGACCTGAAAATGTAATTCTGGGAAGTTAATCTCGTGATCGTTCAACCATGTAATTCTGGGAAATTAATCTCGTGATCGTTCAACCATATACGACGCGATAAAACCTTTAAAGGTAGATTCTTCTGGGGGGGGGTAGCATATATATATATATACACACACACACACACGTCCGCAGTTTCACGTCATGGCGTTGCAGGACGGGCAATACGGTCATCGTTTGATCGACCTGGTCAACAATTGGCGCGAGGCGAGGGTGGCGAAGACAAGAGTTTGGCGAGCTGCAATCTCCCGATCCCAAGGATACCAGGCGCATGCTTCGCGAGGAGCTTACTTCACACTCCCGGGAGCAGACGATGCCTGGCAGCAGACACCGACAGAAGCACCGGATATAACTAGCACACCCTGTTTCCGGGCACTATACCATACTGTACCCGTGCACGCTGAGCCAATCTTTCTGGATTCGACTCAAGGCCGGCTCCCTCTCCAGTGCCTCTGGATGATTCTACCGTGCAGACGAGCTTGCAGACAATCCTGACGGCGTCACGTCGCGCTGAGTGCGTTTTCCTTGTCGTCTTTGGGAGGTGGGTTCACTGATTTACTCCAAGTGTCGTTTCTCGGATATTGCAGGTTTTTCATGGAGGTTTGGACACAGCGAGTTAAATCTGAACCGCGTCCGCCCCCCAAACCCAGGAAGTGCGGCATCTTCAGCGCCAGTCCGCGGGCTACTGCGACCACTGTGGGGCTCTGGGGCGAGTGGCCATTGCCCAGGAGGTTTCCAGAATCGCTCTGCGAAAGCTCATTTCCCTGTTCTGTGCTCTCTGAGATGATATCGTCCCCAAAGCAGTAACAGGTCACCAGCAGGTCAGGTTTTGCTGGAGAACCTTGCTTTGACAGCAAAGCCCAAAGCCACCTTCCTCCTACATCCCTGAGTCCCAAACGCAGAGATCGCGGTTACTCGTAGGAGCTGGCCGCGATCGTTCGAGGGCACCTAGCTCTGGAGCGGACGGGCACGCCCGAGAATCGATGCTTCGAGAAACTCTAGTTTGATGTTTATTCTTAAGCTTAGTGTCCTATGACCAGTTCAAAGATGAGGGGGTTCAGGGTGAAGGGTGCAGGTCCTCAGAGTTGCGTCCGGAAGAATCACGTTGCGGATCACAGATGCTTGTCTGCTGGTTTGCGCCACTGAAGCCTCAGGAACTTCATGCCCTACGCCAAGCACGACCGCCTCAGAAACACAGGCGAAGCGAGCGATTCCCAACCACCCTTCGCAAGTTCAAGGCATCAAGCATCGGTGTACTCTGAGTAGACGTGTCAGGCTACGCTCCAGAAGCTGGCGACTGAGCTGACGCTGGCTTTCCAGCAAATGCAGGAGGCCTTGAAAGGGAGCCTGGGCTTAAACGGCCCAAAGGAATCCCTAAGCCCCTAATGTCTTCCCCCTCTTTTGCCGTCCTCGGCTCAGAGGACTCCTCGGCCCCGTAAGCGCCCCCCCCCCCCCCCCACTTAGTTTAAGGTTTAGGGTTTAGGGTGTAGGGTGTAGGGTTCAGGGTTTAGGGTTCAGGTTTCAGGGTTTATAGGGTTACTCTTATGCAAAGTCTTGGCAGGGTGGCACACGGATGGCAATTGCTGTAAAGGTAGGCGGTCTGAGCATCAGGCCTCTTTCTTTGCAGGGTTAAGAGATTTTTGGATGCAGACCTTCTTGGGATGTCAATCTGTTGAGTCGTCCATTTGCTTTCGAGTCTTGCCGGAAGCCTTTAGCCTTGTGATATCCAGTGCACTACTCGTGTTTAGCCACGCGAACTATCGCGAACTCCTCTGAGAAGTGCGTAGCTGCCCAAGGCTGGAAGGAAAGTGGGCGCCATGAGTGGCTCTGTAGCTCATTTCAGAAGCCTGGGGGCTTTTGACTGAGGAGCACCATGCTGGTGGAGGAGACGAGGCGATCCCACGAGCACGAGCAGCGGGAGCAGCCGTTTGACAACGCGCCGCTCCGCGACGACTCCTTGCAGCACGAAGGGTTTAGGGTAGCTAGCCCCCCAAGAATTTCAATCGGAGGATGAGTCTCTGTTTTCTGTTCAAGTGATCCCTGCCAGGACCTTCGACAAGTGAAGGCCCCTCAGTTGCAGTGACCAGCAGCAAACTCCGGTAAACTTTCATATGAGGGATTCTTTTGTACAAGGAACACAACACCCCCCCCCCCCCCAAAAACCCGCCTTGTCTTCGCAGCAGGCCGATATGCGGGACCTCAAGGTACCGGCCTGCCGTGCAAAGATCATGCAAAGCGCAGCATCAAGCTTCTGTATGTTTGCACCTTGCTGCTGCTTTCTGAAGGAATCTCTCGCGCTGGTGCAGCAGAAAAGCGAGCAGGCCAAAGCTGTCCCCCAGTTCTCCCCTTGTCTTTTTCTTTCTTTGCAAACGCAGAGGACACAAAGCGCCTGCTTCAGCAACTGGAGCATCTGGGCGACGTCGTCACTGTGAGCAACTGCAAGCCGTCGCTCGGAATGCTTCTGGAGCATTCTGTAGCATTCTGTGGCAGTTCCTGCCTCGTGCCGCAAGCCCTGCGCTGAGGAACGAAGACCCTCCTGCTTCGCAGAAGGATCAGCAGAGGATGCTCGAGGGTCTGCAGCACGTCACAGCCACTTGGTCCAACCACAATGGTCATCTGTCCCCCACATACCCGCTTACTTGCCGGTCGCAGCCCGCAAGTTGCTTTCCTCGTGTTGCTTCGTGCTGATGGTGGACAGAGACAGATTGCGGGAAAAGGGGGGCTCAACGATGCGGCTGCTGCTTTTTGCCTGAGAGACCTACTGCTCTCGAGATGTGTGATTTATGAGAGTTTTTGGTAGTCATTGGGGGACCCTCCGGGAGGTTTCTTCGGGTACATGTCATGAAGTACTTCAAAACTTCATGGTCCGGATGCTCAGGAGCTCATCGGCATCGATCATCGCAAGGCCCGCGAGGATGCCGCGGTGGTCCGGCAGTCGGTGTGTGTCCTGGAGGCTGCTGTCTGCCAGTTCAAGGACGGCTTCGCCTTAAGCGGCTTAAACTCCAGCAAGAACCCAAATTCTCACCCCAGTGTTGTGAAACAGTTAAGTTGGGAGGCTGCAGAGTGCCGGCGCGGTTGTGCTAGGCTGCTAGATGCTGCTAGGCTGTGAGGCTGTGCTTAGGTTGCGCGTCGTGCTAAGATGCCTCAGGACTCCTTGACGACCTCACAGCAGCAGTCGGCAGAGGACAGGGTATGCATCCTGAAGAGTGTCCGGCTGCCTGCCTTGCTTGTATTTGCTTGTCGTGTGGACATGTGTGGACAACATCAGGAGATGATGCAGCGCCTCAGCGTGTTAGAAGATTTGCTCGCCACCAGTCAGACCGCCGAGCAGCCTGGCAGCGATTGGCCGAATTTTACGGGTGGCAGCTTCGTTGCCCAAGCCATTCAGATGGGGGGCCTTAGGCTCCTTTCAAGAGGCTTAAAGGTTTCGCGGTTGGCGGGCCAGGGACTCGTACAACTTCAAGCTCCTAGAGCTTGAGCTGAGTCCTACCCGTCAGTGTATGATATTCTTCGCGGAAATAGTCGGAATTGCAACAGACCCCTCCCGAACTTGCCATGAAACCGCAACGCCCGCAAACCATCCTTCTTGACCCTGTGAAGCTCAAAGCACTAAACTGATTGCCAAAGATGCTAAGTTTTTTCCACCGCAAAAAGAATAGACAATCCTGGCATGCTGCCCTAAGCCTGTAAATCTGCATGGAAGACAGCAGCAAAGTACTCCCTTCCCAGCAGCAAAGTCTTCCCTTCCCAAACATTGCAGCTTTTAAATCCTCGCAGTAGTTTTTCAGGGACATGGTGGGGAGGTTCGAAGTAGCATCTGTCTGTTTTGCGTTTTTGTTGGTGGGTGTTGGGGTGCGGTAGTCTTGCTTGTTTCAGAGGCCCGGAATCTTAGTTGCTCAAGGTTTGGCCCCTTGGGCCATGAGGGACTAAGGCCAAGTAGGACACCCAGCCCGCCCCTTCTTGGCAGGATTTGTATCGCAGGGTTTACGAATCGAAGTTGCGGCTTTTATGGGCTGGGAGTAAAGCCCACAGCCGTGTCAAGGCTGCCCAAGCATTGACCTGCCTTGCCTTGCCCGATCAAGTCAGATGCAACCCTTACCTAAGAAGTAAGGTTGCCCACGCTATCTTGCTTTGTGCTTCTTAGGTCGAGTTTAGAGGTCTGGTTTATAAACTTAGGGGCTTTGGGTTGGGTCGAAGGGTGTCCTGCAAGTTCGTTGGCGTTCTTTTCGGAATCTTGTGATCTGGATCTCCTTCTTGAGATGCTCTGTAGTGGCTCAATAGCGTGATAGACGCATTGCTTGCAGAAAACCATTGAAAGCCATTCATGGCCGTGATAGAGATTTGTTCAATCACGGGCGACGTGGTTGCCCGTCTAGAAGTGGCTTCCTTCGACTCAGAGGAAGGCCCAACATGCTTGACAATCAAAGAGCGGCTGCAAGAGCAGCTGGGCATTTCCTGCTTCCGCCAAAAGCTGCTGATTGAGAGCAGCGTCGCCGAGAACCACGCAACCTGGAGCTCCCTGGGATGTCCGGCTGCAATGGTGTTAGTCCTGCTCGAGTATGTGAACGGAGTGGAGGCCCAGCTCCTCGAGGCGGCGGAAAGGGGTAACATAGAGGAAGCCAAGAGACTCCTGCAGACTCCGCAACAGCCTGACTGCCAAGATGCTGTGGGGCAGACCGCCGTTTACAAGGCCAGCGCACATGGAGATGTTGGTATGCTGGAGATGCTGAGGCGGGCTGGGGCTGATGTCAACTTGAAGAGCGTCCACGGCACTCCCCTCATGGCTGCAGCTGTCAATGGACACGGTGAGGCCGTGCGCCACCTGCTTGCTTCTCAGGCCCAGATTGGGGTTGTGTCGAACGGCAGAACTGCGTTGCATGCCGCTGCAGCGCAGGGTCACCTCGAGATTGTGCAAGTTCTTCTGGATGCAACGGCAGACGTGAATGAAGAGAACGCGAACCGAGCAACTGTCCTTCATCTCGCGGCCGAGGGCGGACATTGCAATCTTCTGCAATACCTCCTTGATTCTGTTCCTGGCATTCACAAGGATGCAACGAACGTCGTGGGAGCAACTGCGCTTCACATCGCTGCCGCGTCCGGAAATGCAGAGGTCGCTGGGTGCTTGGCCAAGCATGGGTTCTCACTGACTGCACGAAACCATCAGAATGCGACCGCCCTCCACCTCGCTGCGGAAGGCGGGCATGTTGAGGTGATCCATGCCATGTTGCAAGCCCTTGGTGATGAGGCTGGTGAGGTGGCGCCTGTGATGTCCGAGCTCCTCGATGCACAGAATCGAGCCGGTGCAACTGCTCTTCACATCGCCGCAGAAGCGGGGTACTTGGGGGTGGTGCGATGCCTTCTTGAGGCGGGTATCAACAAGGATGCTGTCAATCACCGCGATGCCACCGCTCTACACCTGGCGGTGGGCCAGCGACAGCTGGAGGTGGTGCAGTGCTTGGCAGATGCGCGCGCAAACCTCAACATGAAGAATGTGAAGGGGTGCATCCCACTTCTCATTGCAGTAAGGACAGGTAGCCACCAGTTGGTCCAATGCCTACTTGAAGCTGGCTCTGATGCAACGTCGCAGAACCTTCAAGGTTTCACCGCACACGGCCTGGCCATGGACCTGGGCCTCGAGGAGGTGCTTCAGGTCCTGGAAGGAAAGCCCCCTGCGCCATGAAAACGCAGAACATTTCAGCATCAGGTTGTCTAGTCTCGCGGCTCCCGGCCTCAGAACGGTCCCCACAGTCCACCCTGATCCGATGTCTAAGATGTGCAAAAGCACATTTCCCTGCAACCCTAATCCCTAAATCCTAAACTCTGGAACCATACTCTGCTCCCCATACTTATATACTACTACCATGTTCCCCATAGAAAATACATACAAAAACCATGCCCCCCCAAAAAAATATACTAACACCATGCTCCCCACAAAAAACACATACTCAGACCATGCTCCCCTTAAAAAAAACATATGCTAAATACCATGCTCCCCCATAAAAAATAGACTAATACCTCAGGTTCCCCCAAAAAAACACATACTCATACCATGTTCCCCACAGCAAGTCAAGTTAGCCGACGATCGAGGCCATCTCGGCTTCCATGCCAGCCGGCCATCCCTGACGATGTGATCCTGAGGACCTTGCCCCATGACTGCTCTTGGGAGTAGTCACAAAGGGAGGACACAGACTTTCGGTGCCTTATTATTATTATGATTATGATTATGATTATGATTATGATTATGATTATTATTACTAGTACTGTTATGATTATTATTATTGTTATTGTTATTGTTATTGTTATTGTTCTTGTTATTGTTATTGTTCTTATAATGATATCAAGAAAAATAAATATCATTGTTATTATTGCCCAGGTACGTTTTTGGCTATGGATCGTCATGTTTCGGTAGAGTTTGAGAGGAGATCTGGTCCGACTTGGGTGGAGCTCACTTGGGAAGAGCCTTGCGCCCGCTTCCCAGACCTTGACTGCACCACGCTGCCTTACTATGTATATCATGTATCAAATCGTCCATCCTTGTTTCTTCGCGTTCCACATGTCCGTGAGTCCGTGTATGTGCCCGATGAAATAAGGAGCTTCTGCTGGAGCTCCGCAGTGCGGGCTTTCGGCGCACGGAGCTCGCATTTCCGCCGGTGCAGCTGGAAGGGCTGAGGCCGAACACCGAGCCACCTGGCAGGACCCGGGCCAGGCAGACTTGGAGGAGTTCAGAGCGTCGCACAGTTTTTTTTTACCATGTCCGAGGTATGCTGTGGCAGTGAGCACGATCTGTGAGAAGCAGCAGCCAGTGCCAAAGTTTTCCAGCGGGAATGGAGGGATGGGGTACTGGTCTGAAGTAGGGCCATGCCTGACCCAAGAGAGTTGCAGTTTCCGATTCATGTTGAAAGCGGTGCGATCTCTATGTCGTGCCACTTGCCATGTCTAACAAGGCCCCCCCCCCCCCCCCGGCACCCCCCCCCCCCCCCCCCTGTTGAGACTGGAGCCCAGGCTCTCCTTCGTGACGCCACAGGAAGATGAGTTGAGTTCTGGTGCGACGACGTCCTTGACCGCAGTCATGAAAGACTTGGGCAGCATCAAACAGTGCCTTGGGCTTCTCCCGTTTTTCTAGCTGTTGCTTGCACCTCGAATCCTTGTGCTGCGCGTCCCCAGGCCTTGTGTGACTAAGCTTGGCTGAGCTGCTGCTTGCTTTTGCTCGCTGCGAAAGGTCCGTGGATGTCATCCATGCCGCGGCCGCCAACGCGGAGTTGCTGCGACATCTGGGAGCACTGCAGGACCGCTGGGCCCCTCGGCCTTGAGCAAGTGCTTCTGTCGAGCCGTTAACGACTCTGTCTCGAACTTTTGCAGAGCCTGAAGCTGAAACTGAGGCCTCCCTGCAGGTCTCCTGTCTCACTGAAGAGATGCAGAAGCTCCAGGCGGGCAACGACCAGATGAAGGAGCACATCTCCATGGAACTCAAGCCCGTGCCCCTCGGCTGCCTCGACTTTTGGAAGGGAACCCCCAAGCTTTAGCTCAAACTTAGCGCCGAGGCTGTCAGAGCTGCAGGGCATCCATCAGGCGCTCGCGACGCTCTTCCAAAATAAAGAGAGGGCCAGCAAAAATGCACATCAAAGTGCAACAGTGACCATGCCCATCTCAGAACAATCTCGCAAACATTGTAGCAGCATCACAGTGAGTTCGTATTTTGAGCCTCGGTGGAACTTTTTGATTCTGCCCCGAGGTCTTGAGGCGGAAGCCGGAAGCCAGCTGTGCCGCAGGACGCCTCCTCAGCGTGGCCAGCCTTTGAGCCTTTGGGCTTGTTACACTTTTACACGAGTTCTCTACCAACACTGTGCCCGTGCTACCTGTTGTCGTGTTCCCAAATGATGCCAAGGGTTCCAATGTCTGAGATGCCAACATCTCTCATTTCAGCTCATCCGAGCTTAATGCTAGGGTCCAAGTGAGCTTCAGGAAGGTAAAGGTCGTGGCTTCTCCGGCCTGGAATGTCTGCCCAGGGTGATGCCACTGGCGCAGTGCTGAAGATCGTGACTGTTTGGGGGGCTCGCTTTGTACTGCGCTGCCCAGGCTTCAACAAGAAGCCGACGTGCGGAACAGTCAGCGGCGGAGTTACCATTTCCCTATACACAGTACCAGCTGCTGGCTGCTGCAGCTGGTTCACAGGAGCAAGACCCTTGCAAAGTGCCGAGGGGAGCTCCATGTTCATAGGTCATCGGGTGTGAGGTGAGCTTGAGCCAAGCTGGGACCAATGCCTCATTCAAAAGGAGCTTCCGAATTTAGCATGGAGACTCTGCTGCTCTTGACGCCAAGAGAGTTCAACAGCTTTGTAGAGTGTAGCCTAGCATGCAACAGTGTCTGCCAACGTTGCGAACGAATAGTCTCTCCATGGCCACATCTCTATCCTGAAGCAACACGCTTCGTGTCACAACGCCATGAGCAAAATAGCTCAGTACGGCGGCATTATCAGTAGCTAGGTCAGGTGATGCTGAAGTTACCCAACAGCAAAAGGTTGTCTGCGCACGGATGACCGACTTGATTCAGCATGAGTCCAGGCCAAAAGGGCAGCCAGGAGATGACCCAAGTTGCAACCAGCCTGGAAACCAAGAAAGTTCTCATATGCCCTCTTCCCTGTTGTCAAGCTGTAGGGCTTCCAATCGAGCATGTGCGGCATGATTGAGATCCCTCTTGAGGTGTGATACGCACTTTGGAGAGTATGATTCGGGAGACGGTCGGATTCCCCCACCCCCCCCCCCCGCCCCCCATTTGTGGTTTTTTCTGGCCCTTGCCGTTGCCACCAGCTTGGGCCGCATCAAACATCTCAAGGAACAAAATTCTCGTCTCGGTCACCGTAGCGCTACTGTAGTGCTACGGTCACTCCGACGCAGTGATTCTTTGTGCACGGGTCTGTGGCTCAAGGCAAGACCAAGAGTGAAGCAAGAAGCCGCAACCAGCACGTGGGTTACCAGCACTCTGGTTCCAGAACTTCATCCCCGAAATGTAACTTCCATGGACGGGCTTTAAGAGAGCCGCCAGGTTTGGTTTTTGGGCGTGTGTGGGAGGCAAGTCTAATTGGGGGGTGGAGGGGCACGCAGCCCGAAAAGCGTCCTAACACTCGCTTCTTAGTGTAGAGAGCGTTTCGGCACCTCTGGCTCCACACGTCGCTCATGGCGGTGGCGCTGGGCACATTTAAGTCACTCAACAGGGGGCGCGCAGTATTCTACAATAACTTGCAGCTTAAGATCGAGAGACTTTCATGACAGGATGAGCTCCCGGACGCTGACACGCTCCGTATTTTGATCCTCACAGACACACATGTGCCAGACCTGCATTTGAGCAGCCATTGACAGCTGTACGCTGTACGGAAGTTTGTATTTTCCGAGCCCTGAAGCAGACTCTCCTCTGTTTCCTCTAGCGGAATCTAGCGATCCCAGGTTGGCTTCAATGAGAAAGACCAGGCACGTGTGCGAAGAGCATCAATCAACTGGTGCATGTCTGCCATTGCTGCATTTCACGTGTCAGGTTCGTGGGAAAGATTCGCTGGAGACGCTGGAGGACCCGTGTTTTGCCACCCTCCAGCCTTCACTTGATTTTGGTTCGTAGGGAATGGGGAATAAGGTACCCCAGTTAGGGGATATATGGTACCTTATTCTAAGCAGCAGCAAGTTCAGCCTCCAACCCTAAACCGAAAACCCTAAACCCTAAACCCTCAACCCTAAACAAGATGAGGAAGCTCTCCAGATCGGGAAGAGCGGGCAAGCAGATCTCATCCTGCATGGTGGAGTCCTCTTGGCTTCTCTCTGTTTCTACTTGGAGGTTCATGGTACTTATCAATCAGCTATAGCTGTACGTATAACCCACTTATAAGCCCCTGAAGTGCTCTAATATGGTGATAAGTACAGATATTAGTAGCTGCGTGGGAGAAGCTTTTTTTGAGTTGCCTCAATTGGCGGCAGCTGGGCCGTGATGATGTTCTTGCTGAAGTTCATGAGCTTCAGGTGGCGACCTCTTCCACGAAAACAAGCCATCCAGGCTGGAGCACACTGCCCTGAGTTTCGTTTCAAGTGTTCCCTCGCATCAGGGGGTGTCTCTTCAGAACCATGAACCTTCTGAAGCAGTACACGATGGGATCTGGAGAGGCCGGGAGGTGTCGTACCCAAAAGGGGCTCGAAGGTGACAGAGTCGAACAGTCTCCAAAGTCCCCTTCCAACGCGGCTCTTACCCGGAAGGTGGCCTTCGAGGCTGGGTGGCGTCTCAGGAGTCGCATAATCGGCAGAACTTCCATGCGCAGGCATGGAAGAGACAGGAAGTTTGCAAGGTGACTCGCTTTGCTGTAGGTGGTCAGTGATCCAGCCTGCTTCGGCACTGGCCAGGTCAATTACAAGGCAGCATTGGTTAGAGTTAGTTAGGCGTGAGACCATTTGAGACAAGTGTTCAGAGATGTTGTGTAGGACCCCAACTTGAACATCGAGTGCCCCTTGTCCTACTGGCAAGCTTGGCAGCGTAGCTCCTTGCAAGACAAATGATTCCTGGGTTGCCTCCGCCAGCTTCATGATCCACGGCAACCATGACGATCCCGGTGGGGAGAGCAACCTCTGCGCCGCGAACATTCTAGAGGCAGCGGGGACGACTTAGCTGCAATCGCTTGCTGTCGCTTCGGGCATCCCGAAGGTATTGCATACATTGGGGGTCATGCTTGGCAGGTAGGCGGCTTGTGCAACTACTTCGGCCGGCACGAAGACCTCGAGGACAACCGCACAGATCGGTGTTGCTGACAGTGATCTCTGCCGGTGGAGGACATCGTTATCAGGCCAATCTTGTTGGTTAAGGCAAGACGGGAGCTGGAAGGATGTTGTGGGAACATGTGCACATGTGTCCTGGCACACATCTCTGGTTCAGAGTCAAACTGCTGTGGAGCTGCTGTGGTTGGGCTCGCTGTGTGCTTCTTTCTCTCGCTTGTTCGGCTGGGCAGCCTCGCCACGGAAGCACTGCCTGAATCCGCCTACACCACCACGAGCGAGGGCAGCCAGGGTTGAATCACGGAAGGGAGGACGCATGCCCCTAACTTCAGCACGCACAATGACACGCGAATGCCAGCAATATCCAGCAATTATGATTAGCATGTTGGGTTCCAGATGTCTGCATGCAGCATGCTTGGAGGGCAAGTCCCGTGTGGCGATCTATGGCCTGGGCAACATCCGTGACGAGAGGTTACATCGAGCTTTCCAGGCGCAACCTAGCACCCACGGCGTACAGCAGATGTTGTTCTTCAACGGTTGGCTTCTGCAGTGCCCAAGGCCAAGAAGGTCCGCTTCGAGGCAGGTGGTATCGCATCCCCATCACGGAGTCTCACAGAGAAGCATGCCAGACTCCCGTGGACACCGAGAAGTGGTTCCACGTGATGATCCTTCACCAGAACAGGCACAGACTCAGGGTCTTTAGCAGCTCTTCCTCGCCTGGCCTTTCCTGCTGGGGGGCGCCCACGATGAGCCGTTCGGTCGCCAGGCACAAGGGAAACAAAGGGGCCGTGCCAAGCAAAGCGCTCGAGCCTCGAGGCATGGTAGTTTTTGTTGCTGCCCCTTTTTATGGCCCCAAAATGCTCGCCGAGGTGCATCCATGAGGAGATGCTCCCCTCCTTCTTGGATCTGGCAGGGCGTGCCAGGGAAAAGCAAATCGGGGCCCACCCAGGGCTTTCGATCTCGCCGTGAGGTCATCTGGGGCCATGAGCACGACTGCCAAGTGAAACCGCAGGCATGGTCGAATGTGTCCTGAGTAGCTGCAGAGCCCAAGAACGGTGTGTTAGCTCCCAGGAGTCCCTCCGAGGGGAGTTCTACGTCATGCAGCCGGGCTCTTCTGCTGGGCGCTTGTGAGGGAGAGAAGGGAGGGAGGAGAGCGAAGGGGGGGCTTCCGCAGACCTCTTTACAGTCTTTCCCCCTCAGCTCCCAGGTAGCCACGTCGCTGACGCCACAAGAGGCCGGGCTGAAGCACGTGGCCTTGATCGACCTCAAGGAGGGCGTCTTCAGGCCGTCGCCTGGGGCACTACTACTCATGAACCACACTGCCTAGATCACTGCCTACCACAGAATCCCCAAATTTTGGCAGGTGCAACCCCGTGCCTCTGTGGACAGTGAGACCATTGGCAGGGAACCCACAGCCATCGAAGCCCAGCTTTCTATGGCAGTTTCAGATGCACGCTCTCTCAGAAACACCCATGAGGTCATGAGGGACCTGGTCTTTGCCGGCCTGCATTTTTTCGGGGAAAGTCTCTGAAGAGTACTTCTGCAACCTCTGCTTCTGATGCCGCCAGGTTCTCTCAGAGACGGGTCTCTTGAACACAGACACGCAGGCCCAGTCAAATGCTGCTCTAGAAAATGCACAATGTGAAAACATGTAAACATAAGTACACAGTTGCACTCAATCTTTTCCAAAGCTGGGACCTCAGCATCAGTGGCTGGACAAACATCGACAGACTTCTTGTTGAAGCTTTGCTGAACGCCCAGGGTCCGAATTTTCGAGTAGGAGCTGGATCGAAGTGGCTTTCACATGTGCAGCAAGATCACAAGCAGCAAGCCAACGCACAAGGAGCAGGCGCACTCTTCTCCACAGTTCATTCAATTTGAGTCGTGCATGAGCGGCGGCCACATGTCGAACTTCGCTTTGACAAGTTGATCATGGGCTCTGGAAGGACACTGCGTACACTGCTTGATCATTCAGTACATGTCTTATCCCGCGCGCATCTGCAGGAGTTGGCGCGATTGGCGGAGCGGGCGTGTTTTGCAGATCTGCACCTGTCGGCCTGTCGGCTGACGTAACCTTATATTGATGAGATTGGTGCCATGAGCCAGGAGGCCGAAGCATCTGGCCGTCATTATTGGCTGCTCTGCGCTCAGATGGGCGTATTGCCCCTGTGCAAACCCAGCATGGCTGCAGCTTCACGACGTAACTGGGGCAATGTCTAAGGAAAATGCCGTGCGGGTACGTGCAGAAATTCGTTCGCCGTATTAGTATGTATTAGTGAATGCTTGCAGATTCTCAAGAGCAGACTCCAGAGATGTGAGGCGCGACCGGGCTCCTTGTGGCTGTGTGGCTGGCAACCCAGGGGCTTCCAAAACCTTGAGAAAGATGGAAAACACACCTGCAAACACATACAACTTGGGATGTAGTTGGGATGTTCCCCCTTATACTAGCAGCCCTGAAGAGGGATGATAGTACCCCCTATTCGCTTAACGACTCTTAGTAAAAATTCGTATAAGGGGAAGCATCCTAACAGACATTAAAATTATTACAAACCTCTCGGGGGAGGGGGGTTGCCGAGCCCAATCGATGCAAGGCCTCCTCGCATTTCTCGCGGTGATGGCGGCATTCATGGCACCGAAACCCGAGGCCTCCCTTCAATGCTTCAAATGTTGTCAAGCCATGGGATCGCGTTCCACTGTGGTGAGACTGCCATGAGTCGGCCATGTCACAGAATGTGTCACCAGTATGTCAGTTAGACAGGCGCTGAGGAGCTTCCAGTGGCGAGGATGCCGCCTCCGCTGCACCTCGAAAGGCCCCTCGAAGCGCCCCTAAAACAGACAGCAGGGCGACATGTTTTGCGCCTTTTTCCAGGTCTCTGCCTTCGAGGCAGCTTCCCGCAAAGCAATCGCCGATCTTGCTGCGCGACATGATGCAGGAGCCAAGTGGGGCAAATGGTGTGTTGATGGCGGGAGCATCTTAGCGGCCTAGAGTGTAGCTTCTGCAGGAGGAGGCTGCATCTCCCCCCGAGCCGTCGCAGACACAGCTTCACCACCTTCACCAGCTTCAGCAGCGCCTGGATGCCGCGGACTGGCCGAGCCTGGATGGCTGCCAGGCCTCGAAGGGCCGTGAACCCCACATGTCATGTGGCGGTGCTGAAAGTGGGGCGCAGGCCGCTCGGAAGGACCCCAGCTCTCGGCCGGGCAGGACTTCTGAGCTCTCACGTTTCTGGGATGTTCCGAGACCTCGGTGAATCTCTGAGACCCAAATGTGCAGATGCTGCAGGCCCTGTCTGCCGCGGCCACCGCAGTATCCTTACGGGACCTCTGCCTGCACAAGTTGGCGTTTGAGTGGACTCGACTGAAAGCAGAGCGTCGTGCTGTCGTCAATCAACCTCTCATCCACTTGCAAGAGGACGAAAGTAGATGCGAAAATCATCCTGGGAGAGCGTGCTGTCGCGGCAGCCACTGGCGTAGTGGATGAGGCTCTCTGTGCCCTGGATGCATTCGTGATACTCTGGAACATTCATCAAGTCAGCCTGCCTCGAGCAAAGATCAAGACGGCTCAGGTGACGGCTGGCATCTGTTTGGAGCAGCTCGGCCACGTATGTAGAGCTTAAGGCCGACAGGGGGAAATTCCACAAGTCAGTGCTCAGGACATGACATGGTGCCGTCGTGCACTGACGGGCTCTATTGGGAATGAGCAGCCGGATGGCAAGGTCTGTTGTGCGCTTCGCGAGTGACAGCCTCCGCTCCCATTTTTGTTGGAAGGCGATTGGATTGTCCTACGGTATCGAGGAGAGAGACCTTTGGAGCGAGCTGGTGGCTTTGGCGCGGTTTCGGAGTGGTGCGGACAGAGAAGCCAGGCTTTAGGCCTTTGAGCGATTTCTAGCGGCTTCTAGCGTTTTCGTCCAGTCACCGACGGATCACAAGTGCACAATCAAGGTCAGCAACGTCTACAAGGCCGCGGCACGACCAAACAAACACTGCCAAACAGCTGCCCGAGTTGCTTGCTTTCAAGTTTCCTGGCCAAAGCTGCATGGAGTTCGACACAACAGGTGCCTCCGCGCCTCTACGATTGCTTTCAGAATCCTCAGGCCAGGCTGTGAGCACTGTGCGTTGCAGCAACATCGCGACGAAGCCTCGGGGCATCCTTGTCACCTTGCCTGGCGAAACGTCGCAGGCCTCACCGCCTTTGGCGGGCACGGCCCCAAACGGAACCGGCTCCTGCAACGGGGTCGGTGGGCACTGTTCTCTGCCTCGCACACCAGAGACTGCATGCCTGACTGTCCGGGGTAGGGGGAACGGATTCGTGATGTGACAGAAGCCTCCGAAGTGGCTCTTGCCTTCAGAACTTCAGACTCTCGGAATCTTTTGGAGTGCAATCAGAGCAGGGGTGAGCGATGCCACCCAGGTTATGAGACGCCTTACCAGGCTTTCCGGGTATGCCTTGGGCCTGAGAAAGCAAAACATGGAGGCCGGAACTACGAGTCTTGGCATGCAGAATCCACACCAGGATTCTCAAACTCCCTGGTATTTTGTGGACATTTGTGGACCTGTAAGGAACCCCTCGAGCTGCACTTGAGAGACCGGCATCCCCTCTCCGTGCACCTGAAGATCGATGTCGAAGGTGCCAAAATCACACTGCAGGGGGGAGGGGTTATGTCGAAGGATTCCAAGAGTATTCGTTGCGATGACGATGACGGTGACGACGGACGAGAGACGACCAACGGACCACGAACGACGAGCGTCGGGCATCGAGCGCCGAGAGTCGAGCGTCGAGCGACGATGATGACAATGGCGACAATGACGACGATGACGACGATGAACATGATGTTGGTGATGTTGATGATGCTGATGATGCTGGTTGCTGTTCTTGCTGTTGTTTGCTGCTGTTGCTGCTGCTGCCGCTTTCGCCGCTGTTGACGCGGACGGCCATGTGGGCGGCCACGGACGACGACCTGGACGACAGCGTGGAGACGACGACTTGGATGATGATGTTGGCGACGACGCTCACGACAATGGAGGCGGCAACGGCGGGGGGTGGTGGGTGGTGTGAGTGGTGGCGGGGGTTGGCGGGGAGTTGCCGTGATGCAGCGGCTCGGCTGCATGCAGGTGAGCCAGCTCCAGATGTTGAGTTGCCATTTGCGCAGGTTCAGAATGGGAAGTTCTGGAGTGGCTGCTGGCAAACCCCGCAGAGCTGGACAAAATCCGCACGCTGGACATGGAGGTGCAGCGGCAGGGATGGAAAGAGTTCAGAGGCAACATTGGGAGGTTCAGGAAGCCAATGGTTCTCCAGCCGGCTTCTGGCTCTTTTTTTGGGGGGGTTTAAGCACGTTTCCGCTGTGAACTTTATAGCAGCATCCTTGCAGTACAGAAGATCTGCTATAGAGGTTGATGGTGGTGATCCCAATGCTCTTGGACGCCCCCAGCTCTCAATTTTGTGGGCAAGAACTCTGAAAAGAGTGAAAGGCTTGGGCTGGGGATGGCTGGGGGTTGAGTTGGGGGATACTGTCGGCTGGGCCCTTGCAGAAGCACATAGAGTCCTATCCTATCTCAGCAACCACGGCAGCAGCACGAACAGCCGGACGGCTGGCAAGGTGCACCTCGGCTGGAACGTGGAGTCCTCTCGCGGGTTGCCGCGAAGCAAGCTCTCGCCGCACGACCGTTTGGCCAAGGACTTTCAAGGTTTTTCCAGGGTGTGATGGCATGGGAGCATGGATGTGTGGGGCGAAGGACATCGAAACGTTGGAGCGGCTGGGCAAGTACCTGCTGTGCACGGGTTCTTCCATGGAGGTGCTGGCCGAGGAGTGGCTGCAATGGCCACATGGCGGGTTTGGACCTCAGAGAGCTCTGCGCTGTACATTGTACAAGATTGTACCCGTAGTGATGCATTCTGGTGTATCTTCGTGTATCTTCGTGTATCCTCGTGTATCTTTGATCCGTACGTCTTCAGCCAGGAAATGTCGAAAGTGTCCAGAACCGATGGCTCACGCGGCAGGGGGTTTCCCAGTGCTTCAGTTCGCAGCTGGGACAGAAAAGGAAGGAAGGTCATTGTTATGCTGCAAGCGACTTAAGTTTCCGAGTGTGGCCGTGATGCACAGTGCCCGCGCCTTGTGATCACAAGCCGTGGTTTTGCTGGCTTTGCCTCTGCCCACCGTTCCGTGGCTTCTTGGGGCACCAAGGCAATCAGCTTCGTCCACCCAGGATTGGTTGGATCCTCTGCAGCATGGCGACTCATGCCTCACAAGGCTGTGCCTCAACTGAGCGCATCCCCGCCACCCTGAGCTAAGGAAGGCCCGTGCCCAAGAATCCCTTCGAGCCGGTGCCTCCAAGCCGCAGCAGCCCGGTGCAGTGGCCCAGCCTCCTCCCATGTGAGAAGCTGCCCGGCTGCTTTGAGTCGGAGTCTCCCCCGATCTCAGCAAGTTCTTCCGTAGCGCCCCACTCTGACTGGAGCCCCACTGAGGACCTACACGACCCTCAGTTCCCGACCGGGTCGGCTCAGCCCTGAGAGACGATGAGAGAAGTGCATTAAGTGTATTGGGCACATATTGGATCATATTGGGGGGAGCCGACTTTGAGGCCGTGCCTGCCGAAGCCGGAGACGTGGCCGTACGTGAAGCGCAGTGACAACCTCATCGCCCTGGGGGAACGCACCGTGAAGGCTGCCACGGGCGTCGTGGCAGAGGAGAGCTCTGCGGATTGTGGGGCAATTTCGTAGCCGGTGTAAAGTCTTGGTTTTGCACCCCACATCGCGATTGGCCTCCTGCGATGGAAGCTGCCTTGCCCGTGATCCGCCCTGTGTGTAGGTGGTTCAGTATGCTCTCGTGTGTGTGTACGTGTGGACAGTCGCGGGCCAGTAGGTTCTTGTGTGGTTGGAGAGTACTGGCCCGGTGTACTGTCGCCAGAGCTTGTAGAAACTTTGAATTATTCCTTCTGCCTGTATTGGTGGCATGATGCGCCTTAAAACCGGACAAGGTACGGGACTCTAGCAACTGGCAGCAGCAACAGGCCGTGCGAGAAAAGCTATGGGAGCGGCAAGCCCAAAGCAAGCTTCGGAGCTTGGCCAGATGTGCTGACATTGGGCATCTGTGGCCGCCACCAATCGAATCCCGTGCGAGGTGGCGAGCGAGGCAGGCGCCCAAAAAGGGCAAGAGCAGGGAGATTCCGCCAGGAAGCGCTTCGCCCAGAGGTGGCTGCAGAGCTTGCAGCCCTGTTTGAGCCTGTCGCCCCTGGGTTGCGAGTTGGGCGAGCTGGCGAGATACAGTTCTGCGAGGAGGCGCCTGCCACGTTCACGACCCAAGCGTGGCCTCGTTCTTTCGGCTGCAGAGCCTAGAAAACTCTGCAGTGGGGGCATGAACGCGCCGCCGTATGTTGTTGCTACGTTTGAGAAGAAGCCGAGCCCAAGGCAGAGTCGGAGCATGGAAACGACCTCCGCTTGTTGACAGTTTGATGTTGATGATGTGGGGTGTGCTGCGTTTCGGTGACATAGGAAGGACACAAAGGATGAATGTGCACAAGCTTATGATGATTTATTATGTTGTGAGCATGGAGGCGCGTGAGGGACCTGCTGGAGAACGAAAGGGTGTGTCTCCGGCGTGCCTTTCAGGGTACTGATATTCTCGGCATTTTTGGTGACTGGTCGCATCGTGTGTTGGAGGCCGGCATTTTGCCGAGCAAAAAGCTTTTCCGCCTAGAGCAGATTGAGAATGATGGGGCAGTGCATGGTGCGAGCTGCCAGCGTCTACACTCACATGTCTTCCTGAATCGCGAGGGGGGGGGGGCCATTGTCAGTCGTGCTCGGTACTTTTCCTCTCGAGGAGCTCTGTGGAGGGTGGTACATGTTCGGCGAGACTGGGCAGCCGTAACTGCAGTAAGTGCAGTAGGAAGTTCAAGAGAAAGCTGTGTTTCTCCTTGTGAGTCCGCCCCCAAGGACATGACATGGTGCCTCAAAGCGACCCAGAGCAAGTGGGGCACAGAGCAACACGATGGTGGGGTAATAGGCCTTTCATATGGCATCGAGCAACGCGACCTTTGGAGTGAGAAGATGAGCAACATGTACAAAGTGCCCACGCGCTTGTACGACTGCTTCCAGCGCCCTGACGACTCGCCGACGCTGGGCGGTAAAGCTCCAAATGCAACTGGCAAGTGCGACGAGGATGGACTGCACTGCTACGAAACCCCGTACCAGGTGTATGAGATCTGCTCTGGGCCGGAGACAACTACAATCCAAGGCCGAAAGTACGAGTCCCTCGAGTCGCATTTGCAGGATCGCAAGCGGCTTTCGGTTCACCTGAAGATCGACACTGAGGGCTCCGAGTGGGAGGTACTGGCCTGGCTGCTCAGCTCACCGGAGGACATGAACAAAATTCGGACCCTGGACATGGAAGTCCACCTGGCTTGGCTGGCGGACTCTGCAAAAAGCAGTGCCCGTGCCTCGATGTCTTATCTTGACCGTCTGGACTACGACGTCAAGCTGCTTGAGGATGTTGGCAAGTTCTTTCGGTGCACTGGATCCTCTATGGAAGTGTTGGCAGAGGGTTGGAGCAATGACGGCCGCGGAGCGTGCTGCGCTTAGTCGTCGACCCGCTTTGGGCACTTCTTGAACTTCTGGTAAAGTAAGGGATTTACATCTATTTCCCTTCTTGGAAGTCTTGTTTGGGGGCATCATATGATATCATATGTATACCGTAGGTTTAGAAAGTGATACAAGAGCTTTTTGTGCAAGAGTTGCAATCTTAATATCCTTACCGACTGGTACAAGAATCTTTAGTTGGTTCTTTACACACCTTGGAAATCCACCATTATGACACCTTAGAATTAGTTCTGCCTTCTTCTCACATCTCTTTTTACTAATGTTTGCTACAGGTGGTTCCGCAGGCATAATTTTTGGAAATGCTGTAGTAGATCTAGGATTGCATGTTGTAGCACATTTTCATGTTGTTCTTTCTTTAGGAGCTATAGTTTCTTTCTTCTCCGGAATAGTTTTGAATGGAGAAAAGATTGTTGGTACGAAAGATTTATTGTTTTCATCCTCTAGATCGCTTTCTCTTTTTCGTCTACGTCTAATATGCATTTGGTATTCTTCATACCTTCTCCCCAATGCATGTCTTAGGATTTTAATATTATGCCAAGATGAATACCATCCTTTCCAGACGTGCATGCGTCGTCTACCGAGAGCAGAGCCCTGTATTGGTAGCCGATGCAAACCACAAGTCACAAGAATGACGCCCAATCCGTTCCGAGTGGCTGCTTGCTCAACCCTAAACCCTAAACCCTAAACCCTAAACCCTAAACCCTAAGCCCTAAGCCCTAAGCCCTAAGCCCTAAGCCCTAAACCCTAAACCCTAAACCCTAAACCCGCTTCAGGAAGTGTGGTGGTACATGCCAGGAACCTGCAGTATATGCTGCAGGTGGCTTTCCAGTGCCCCAGTTTGCAATCAGCTTCTTGGCAGCAGCCTTGTCAGGCCCTAACTTCGCAAGAACACACACAGGGCGGTTTAGGGTTTAGGGTTCAGGGATGTTCAGGGTTTAGGGTTTAGGGTTTAGGGGCCGAAGGGGCGCGTAGACTGCTGATCAGTGGCTGATGAGGCTTCGTTCATCCGGATCTTGTGCTTTGACCTCCTGGCAATGCCTGTGCCGCCTTCCACCACCTTCACCTTGCTGCATCCAAGTGCACATGGCGACCCGTAGCCTCAGGCGTGACATGCACTTCCCCAGCTAAGCCACATAGCCAAAATTGAAGACAGTGTGCAGAAGCCAGCCAAGTTTGATTTGGCAGGCGTCGGCATCAACACCATGATGGAATGGAGCAACTTCGGACCGACGACTACTCCATGAGCATCGGCGCGTCGACACGGGGCCGGCACAAGGACCCTCAAGATGTGTTTCACACAGGAAGAAGCGGCGAAGGTGCAGTGATCCGTGCTGCAGCTTAGCTTGTAGCATCAGGCCGCGCACACCCCAACGTGGGCCACCATCTGACAAATCCTGCACGGTAGTTGCAAGCCGCCTGAGTGCCTCTCGTGTCCCAGTTGTCATTTTTCTTTGCTAAAGCCGGGCAGGCCATCTGGAATGCGTTGTCTGGCGAGGTCGACTCGATGATAGCCCAAGGCTTCGTGGCATACACGGGCATTTCCAAAAATAGGGGGTACCCTTAATATACCAATCCTTATTCTAGGCACCCCCAAAAGGGTACCCCTATTTTCGGAAACCTCCACACAAGCATTCTCGCATGGACGACGCAACCATTGCAACCTCACGGCACTGCAAGCATGAGTTCAATGCACCCAAGGGGAGGAAGAAGTCCAAAGGCGCAAGAAGGAGCTGGAGGTGGGTGGACTTGAGCAGATGGACCAGTGTTTAAGGGTCTTTCCCAGAATAGGGAACTACCCCTTAGTTTCCCCCCCAAATTACGAGAGTCCCTTAAGCCCTAACCTCTTAGATGTTACCCCTACCTTACCCCCGTTGTCCAGTCCTGCTTTTGGAAACCCCCCCCCCATTTTGGCTGACGAGTTCTCTGCGCACTTGGTTTTGTGTTGCTCGTTGAGGCTCGCAGGAAGTTCGGTCCCAAGAAACTGGAGGCGGGACCCGGGGAAGACTGGTTGGTTATGGTTATTGTGCATAAAATAGTTAATAGTACATAGTATGTAGTAGATTGCATAGTGTATAGTAGGTAGTTTCTAGTACATAGTATCTAGTACATGGTTTGTAGTCGAATAGAAGCGTCCGCGATCCGCGTTCTCGAGCCCCCCCCCCCCCCCCCCCTAAACCCACCACGAGCACAGGAAAGGGAAAACCCTAAACCCTGAACCCTAAATACTAGACCCTCACCCTAAACCCTAAGCCCATTATGAAAGAACAACTCCTAAACCTGAATCCTTAAACCCACCATGAATCACAGACCATGAGCCACAGGGGGGAAGCAGGGGAAGCCCTGAACCCCAAACCCTAACCCTAAACCCAGGATGAACCACAGCGGGGGTGCGTGAGTGCTGGCGCATATCGTCCAGTACGAGCGCTGCCGACCTGCTAGTGCTGGCGCAGGATGTGTAGAAGCGCATACGCACGGTCCCAGCTTAACTGAGGCCTACACTTTGCAGCTCGCCGCTCCGGCCCAGGAAACGCCGGAAACGCGGGATAAAGTGCTTCGGACCATGGCATCCCTCTCGGGAGCTCTGGCTCTGACATTCGGCACTCTGCTTGGACTGCTGTTCGTTCTGGTGGCAGGCCTTGGAAAGCTGGTACCAGGCCACCCAATGTACCAGGTTCTAAGTGCCACCTTTGAGAAAGCCATTGGGCCCTTCTTCGGCGTATCGGCCCCAATGGCCAGGTTGCTTCGCCTGGTGATCGGCGCTGCAGAGCTCAGTGCTGGCACCATCTTCCTCCTGGTCCTTTGGGGAGAGGTGGCGGGATTGCCAGCAGAGGTGAAACCCACAGCAGAGGCCCTCTTACTCTGTGCCGTCATGGGAATGCTCAACATCATGATTGGGGCGTTGACCTTTAACTGGGTGGTGGAGCAGCAGACAAAGAAGGTCATCCCTTACTTTGTCTTCTTGTTCCTCCTGAGTGGGCTCTTCGCTCAACGCTTGGAGGTCACTGACTTTGTCGGCATGCCTAAGAACTGGCGCAACTTCATCTACAGCTTCCCGTGCATCTGCGCAGTAGGGCTGATAGGCTCGTTAGCTTGTGCCGCGAAGTTCGGTGCAAAGATCACCGACATTCGGAAGCAAATGGAAGACATCGAGAAATTGAGAGAGCAGCTGCTCTCAAAGTAAGGCAGGATAGGCTGTCCACATGAGCCGGTCGTCGAAGAGTGATGAACCAGCATGCGAGCGTGCAGTTCAAAACGCTTGCCAGCGGCAATCTCTCGTGACTCAGGGAACGGGCAGCTGCTTGGTGTGGGGGGTTCAGTCTTGTATACAACTTGTAGATGTCTCTACGACAGGTGCCGCAGCTTCCTTTGGTGCGACTGCGAGTGGAACATTCGGGGCCTCCACCTTAGCGGCCTTAGCGATGGTGCATGCGCCTGTTTGTGCAGATGTATACCTTCCGGGCTCTAAAAAGGCAGACGTTGCTATAAGACTCCGGTAAAGTGCATATCAATCTTTTTTCACGAGGGCTCAGCCCCCATGTGAGCAAAGCTCAATGGTGTCCCGGACGTCCCCGGCACTTTGACTCCCCTACCAAAGGTTCGATCCTCTGCTTGTCTCACAGAGCGTTTCCAGCCTTGCTTAAGCCTATTTGCTCCCCACGAATTTTCAGTCCCACGAAACTCAAAAACGAGTGTGCTCAGCACTTCTTGCCAAACCTGTGAGCCCCGAGACCTCCTGAGAACCGCCTTTGGAGTCTTCTTGAGCCTTGAGTGCCATCATCTGCCCCGAGGAGCCCTTTTGAACTTCTGAATCTGAACTTTTACAACGTATACCAAAACCCTCCCGTCCACCTTCTGGGCGTGCATACACTGCATACATGAATGTACACGCGCCGCGCCAGTGTCACAAGCTAACGGGGTCACAACCATCATTGGCCCTACCTGTGCTAAGACGGAACATGAGGTTCGACACCATTTCTGGCTCAACTTTTGGCAACCAGTTCGTTGGCCGAGTTGCGAACCCCGACGAGGTGCCGCGGGGAACACTCTTGCAGATCTCTTAGATCTCTTGGCTCGCTCGGGCGCGCACGTGTGTGTGTGTGTGTGTGTGTGTGTGTGTGTGTGTGTGTGTGTGTGTGTGTGTGTGTGTGTGTGTGTGTGTGTGTGTGTGTGTGTGTGTGTGTGTGTGTGTGTGTGTGTGTGTGGTTGTGTGTGTGTGTGTGTGTGTGTGTGTGTGTGTGTGTGTGTGTGTGTGTGTGTGTGTGTGTGTGTGTGTGTGTGTGTGTGTGTGTGTGTGTGTGTGTGTGCGCGAGCGTGGCGTATAGGGCGCTCCGTCGTGACTTGTGGCGACGCCCCACATGTCGATCATAGCGCAGAGCGGCACCTGCAGCATCGTGAGGTGCTGCTTTTCCATCGGCGCGCTGGTGGGGGTGTTGCAGGAAGCCGCAAGGACGGGCCCAGACACAGGGCACCTCCGGACAGTTACATAGCACCTTCGGCAAGAGCTGCAGTGTGCTAGTCATGCGCAGTCTTCTTTTTGCGAGGTTCAAGGCCTAGGCGACGTCCTCGAGATCGAGGAGAACGCAATGCCTGGCGACGACGGTGTCAAGATTCAGGCACGTCAGACGAAAAAAACCCTGCCCGTCATATTTCTATATATATATATATATGTATCTGTATATCCAGATACATCAAACTCATCTTTCTTTCTGGCTGTTTGGTCCGAAAGCACAACAGGAGGAGTCTTGTTTGTGTTTATTGTTGCGCGAGGCAGAGTTGTGCGTTCAGTTCAGCGTTCGCGTTGCCTCGTCATGTCGGCAAACTGTACTTTGCAGCTCAGATTGTTAAGTAGTAATTTAGGGTCAGGGGGGCATGTCTATCTTTGCATGTATGCTCTGCTGTTTCAGCTGTGTTTGTTGCTTTGTGAAACTCGCTGCCCTGGTTGGCTAGGCTCGGCATGCGTGTGAAGCACAATTGGGCGAGTTGATTAGCTCCGACATGCCCCCCGTTATCCGGCGTTTCTCTGATCATCCTGTGGTATGGTCCACAGCCCTCGAGACAGCTGTCGTTTTGAAACATCATCGGATGTCTTGTTGTGAAAACGAGCCCCGTCGGAGCTCTAGTCGTTTTTGGTTTATGGTGGTTGATGGGCTGGACCCCCGAAGCCCTATATACATCGGGAGTTTAAGATCATACCTTAGAACTTGAAGAAACTGTTGAGGACGCTTGACTCTTGGGATGCACATCTTTGACCCCCTTGCAGCCTGGGTTACGAATAAGATTTTCCAGAAACCCTGCTCCCCAAACCTCAAACGCCAAACCCGAAACGGCTGTGGCTGCGACGAAGACGAAAACAAAGGGTCGGGATTAGCTCTTCGCGCGATTCTCACGTTTTCCGAAAAGCTTGGGAATTTCCACGTCATGCAGGCTCATGGTGCAGTGTTATGAAGTTGAAGCTATATCCCCCCCCTATATCGCTCTGATCGGCCTTGATGGCGCGACATGCCCCGCGCGCGCAGCACGTACAGGGTTTTTGGCATGTTTTTGCATGTGGCGTGGTTTGTGGAAGGACATCATCTACAAGTACATTGATGGCGAGCAAAATCTCCAGGCGATCTTTGTGCAGCTTCCCTCACAAGTTTGAGTTACGCCAGCTCAGGTTCTCCCTGAACCGGATCTCAACGATGCAGTGCCGCGCTGAGTCAGCCCTCCTTCAATGGCCATGAACGTAGTTCCTCATGCTGCCGAGTGGACATTGCCAGCTGCAGGTGCAGTCATTCGTGCATAGATCGGAGCCCTGTGCCATAGAGCGGTTTGTTAAAGAGGCCGGAGGGAGTGCGCGGACTGGGTTTTCTGAGTCGATATACATTCTAGACAGACGTAGACCACAGTCAAAGAAGCAGCTCTGTGGAAGCACACTCTGGGCAGGCTGTGGAGTCTACAAACCAGGCTTGTGAGAAGTTGCCATCCTTCTCACTATGCTTTGCTCACTATGCTTTGCTCACTATGCTTTGCTCACTATGCTTTGCTCACTATGCTTTGCTCACTATGCTTTGCTCACTATGCTTTGCATAGCCTCCGCATGGTTTTTGCAAGGCTATCCTGAAGGAAAGCCGGGCTGTGGGGGAGGAAGAGATCCGAGTGCAGATCCAGGACTGAGTGTCGAGAGAGAAGAGCTTGTGCGGATTGAGCTTACAAGCTTGCAGGACCGTGCGGAGTCGCTGCGGCAACAGCGGCTGGCCGCAGCTGCTGCGCAGGGTTCACTCTCAGGTGACCGGTGCCACTTCTGACGGGCCAAACCTGTTGTACCTGTACCGTAGAGGCCCGCCAACAGAACGTGCAGATAGCCTTCATGCCAAGCCAGAGCCAGCCTGGGTCTGAGATGCAAGCACGTGTTGGGACGATGTTACTTGTGAAACGCACCCGAGCGCGGGACAGCTTTACCAGATGCTGTCTCGGCCTTTGAGCACATCGCAATTCCACCGTCAGGACCTGCTGGATGAGCCACGCGCTTCGGCTTTGGAACATATGGCAGAGGCGCACCCATGGCGCACCATGTTGAGCCTTCGGCCTTCGGCTTCGGAGAATGTCAGAATGAGGGTGGGGAGAAGCAGAAGCTGCAATTGCTTGGCAGCGAAGAGGATGGCCTTTGCAGAATCTTCGGCAGGCGATACCGCCAACTGCCGCCGCGGCCGCCTTTGCAGCGGAAATGGAGGCTGGTTTTTGGGCTTTCATCGAGGACTTGGGCAGCTAAGGGGGTGGCTGAGATCCTGTTTAAAGATTTTAAAGCGACGCAGCAAGATCTCGTGTGAGCACCATGTCGGAGTCACCAGCACCTGGTTTGCCTTTTCCAGGCCCCACGTGGAGGGAGAGGCGCCTTTTACCTGTCCTGCGCCTGAGCCCTTAACCTTAGACTGCTCGCTACCCCCCGAAAGGTTCACGAGGGGGGCGAGGAAGCCGAGGCCTTCTTAGAACCGATGTGGGGGGGGGGGTTTCCGAACTTAGGGGTCCTTATGATAGGGGAATCCTACTATTTGGGGGTATATTAGGGGTCCTGTACTTTCGTAAACCCCCATCTGCCTGGACTCATGGTTGATTCTGCTTGGGCCTACATGCTGCCTGGCAGGAGGACGAGGCCGAGGCATCCGGAAACCGTCGCGATCTGTCCTCCAAATGTCCTCGAGCAACACTTCCCGAAATGAACTGGATGAAAGACTAGGTGACTAGGTGGAACACTATCTTTCTGGATTAGGAGAGATTCGAGTACTGTAAGGCATGTTCTTGAAACACTCCGTGTTGTTTGTCGTGCAGCCACGGGTTGCCGATTTCACGTTTGCTTTGCACGATTCATCAAGAGAAGACAGGTTATCAAGCATCCTTGCAACGATGACAAGGGGGGTTAACTGTACAGTAAATCGTATGTCGGGAGGGGTGGTCAACTCGGATTCGGTGGCTATGTGTTGTTCCCATACCAGGGCTTCTAGGGTTGCAGATAGCAGCAATGGTTTCTGCCATGGATCTTGTCTTCCACGTGGACTGCGCCTGCACAGAACCAGGCCTGGGGCCTGGAGACTATTTTCATGGCGCAGCTGCCATACTTGCAGACAAGTATGAGTAACTATTAGTAGCAAATCCAGGAAAAATACAAGGTAGCGGCCGTTCCAGATGGGCTTGGCTGAGTGCCGGATGCATGGTAGAGAGAGTCCAGCAAGAGCTCTGATGCCCTGGAGAAGGTGAGCAAGTCTTCATTGTGGGCTCTTGCAAGGAGCTCGGAGCCTGGAACCTTGCAGAGGCCCTTGGTACCTGGTTCCTCCACTTATTGCAAAGCTTATACCACTCCTACAGCAAGCCGCGGTCACAACCAAGGTCAGGGTCCACTATATACTCCCAAGCTTTCTCCACCCCCAAATTCAAGGACCCAAAACCATGGAATGACCTGCGTTTAAGATGAGCCCAAAAACCCCTTGCCCCACCCACACCCGAAACTTTCGACCCTAAAGTGTCTGACAGGCCGTGCCTTGTTTCACATCCAACGCGGTGTTTCCGCGATGGACTTCCAACGTTGTGAAGCTGCCAATCGGCAGCAGGACCACTCCTCTGCGGTTTTTTTTGGGGTTTCGGGGGAACTTCAAACTCTTGATTTGGGATTGGAATCTTGGCGTCCAGTTGCAGAATCTCAGAGCGAGACCTGGCAATTGCTCGACTATTGATCATGACCTTTCCACGTTCGTAATGGAGGCTAATGTATGCAGTCAGTGCATTCCTAGCACAACTCAAGCTGATGGAGCAGCCTAAGAAAGATGTATACGCTGAACAACTGATAAGGTTAATGATAGCTGTCCCCGTGCCGATACTTGTATTACTTTGATGCTTGGGATGCTGATGGTGTGCAATCATAGCAAGGTCAAGGACCCTGTCGCTGAGAGGTAGATGAGCATGTTTTTAAATCCGCCTTCACGGGAGGATTGAATTCAAGGCCGTGATCCATGGCCACCGCGGCAACCGCTGGGAGCACGGGCAGAATCGATTTCTGCAGGCCTGTTTGCGTGTGTTGATGCGCTTTCCAATGCCAGATCACAAACATGCCCCCGCGGTCGCCATCGCCAAGCATTCATTTGTGCTGGCTAGCTTTATGAACACTGTCACTAAAAGCAGAAAGAGGGCTGCTGTCCTGCAACGCATGCAAAAGTGAGTCTTTCAAGGCTCACCAAGACTGACAGCCCCACAAAAAGCCTAAATCATGATGGTATCCATTCTCTCGCCTCAATACCTGCCAAGAGGGGCTTAACAATATAACATATTTATACCACCCTAAACACTGAACTAATGCAGAATCCCAATCGACTGCCAAGATGAAAAGGCAAAGACTTTCCCAGTTTTGGCCACCGAAGGTTGCACATTTTGGACTCAGCTAGGGCTTTGATTGTGCCGGAGCCACTGACCTTCATAATGCAACTCCAATGGTTGGGTTGGCTTACTGGCATGCTCCCAATTTTTGAAACACCTGTAGGCACTTGTCGTCATCACAACAAGAGTCTGACAGCAAGTGTGCGCGTGCACACGAGGTGGAGCTCCCGATGGATGCAGAGGCGCACGCGTGTCGGCAAGCAGTAGCTTCGCGGAACTGGCTGCTGGCGATTAAGGTCGTGACCGTTTCTCTTACCGCTGTAACTCTTATCCGTAGTGAATATTGCAAGAAGAGTACTGCCATCTTTTGTCGTACGGGCTTGATTGTTTAAATGTTCACGATCCGATCGCTTGGTCTCAGCTTCTTAGATTGAGTAGTAGCAAGCATTCCAGACCACATTTCTGGAGGCGAAGAAGATCGCCATGACTTTTGGCCAGCCCGGCATCGAGGCAGCTTTGCGCTCGCGAGTCGCGCGCCGCCGCATCACAGGGTGCCCTTCTTCGTGTCGTCACATGACACGCACTCAAGAGCCTAACTTGTCTCCTGTCATAGAAGTCCTCCCCAGCGCCCTGCCCCTAGTTTGTGACACTGTGGCCGACATTTTCCAGCTGTAACTGAAGCTGGGATCCATCGCTTCCGTGCGACGGCTGGAGTGTCTCCTCAAGCTGGAGTGCCGGGTCCATCCTTCTGAAATTCCTGTAACCACTGCAACCGGCCCCTCCACTTTCCTGAACACAGGAACCGCCTACGCTGCCCAAGCTGCTTGGCCATTCGGCGGTGCACCTCGATAAGGCCCACATCAAGGCCGCCGCGTTGCGTTTTGCAGATGCTTGGGAATTTGAGTGCGGCGTTTCTAACGTTGGGAGGGCGCACATGTACTCAACACACACACACACACACACACACACACACGCACGCACGCACGCACGCACGCACGCACGCACGCACGCACGCACGCACGCACGCACGCACGCACGCACGCACGCACGCACGCACGCACGCACGCACGCACGCACGCACGCACGCACGCACGCACGCACGCACGCACGCACGCACGCACGCCGCACGCACGCACGCACGCGCACGCCGCGCGCGCGCGCGCGCGCGCGCGCGCGCGCGCGAGCGCGCGAGAAGCTCCAAATGCAAACATGGACCCCAACCTTCTGTAAACCCTCCCAAGCCCTACAATGCGACCCCAAACGGCCCAAGCCCCGAAGCATGAGCTTTAAGCCACAACCCTAGCTCCCAAATCTCCAGGTCGGGGCCGACCCTAAACCCTGATGCCGAAGCACCCGATTGCTCCAGGCCATGGCACCCTGCGATCTTGGTTTCTTGCCGCCAAAGGCGGGGGAGTTTGGGGGTTAGCAGCCCCTTCAATCGGTAGCTATGCGAGGCCGCCTCGGCCAGGGCGCCGGGGCGGCTTCCAGCATGCAGCGGCGTCGGTACCGAGGAAAAATGGGGCAGGCTGTGTTGCTTGACAAGGTTTGTTAGGGTAGGAGTCAGGGATGCGGCTGGGATATATGATCTAAACGCCCCAGGCTGGCGGACTGGAGTGGTCCTCCCCTAAAACACATATAGGCACCCCCAAGCCCCTCTGAAGCCCTGAGCTCCCACAAGGATGGCCTCAAGGCGGCCTCGCCCAGCGCGGGCGTTGTGGAGGCCGCGGAGCGCGCCAAGGGCTCCCACTCTATGGGGGGGGAGGGGGCGGTGTTCGGGCGTCGGGTAGAGTCGACGTCCCTCAGCCCTGATACCCACCCCCCCCCCGCCCGAAACATCAGCAAACACATGCGTACAAACAGGGACCGTGAGAGAGTATGTAGTCCAATAAGTCAACAAGCACATGTTAGATCACCATGCAGAAAGAGAGGACTTTGTTTTTGTTGTCTTGGAGGGGGGGCTGGGGGTTCTAAGGGGGTCTAGCGGTGAAGAAGGTTTAGCTCTAGGGCTCACTGCTATGGAGGGTGGGGTGGGGTGGGGTGGGGTGGGGTGGGGTGAGGTAGGGCGGGGCGGCGCGGTTGCGTTGGGGTGGCGGGGCTCGGGCTGTCAGAGCTCACTGTGCAGATAATTACTGGAGCGGCTCGAAGCACAGCCAATACTCTCGGCTATGTTGTTTCCGGCGAACTGACTATTGATCTCTCCTGAATCATGGAGGTTGATGGCAAATGCGATAGTAGAGTGCAGCAGCTTAGAGAAGCTTAGTGGCATTGATCTGCAGGGTTTTCAGGGCCGGGCACCCCAAACCCCACCCAGGCCATGGACAGTATGTAAAGCATGCCGTAGTCTCCGACAGTATACGGCCGTATACTGTAGCGCACGTTGTGGCACGATGTATACTGGAGCGTACCGTAGGTATTGCACACCGTAGTAGTAGCAACGGCAGGATCCCATCGCAAACTCGAACATGTCTCAATGCGCTGCACCGATGTTTCTGACCAGGAGTGCAAAGTGAAATCCAAAGCCCGAAAAAACCCTGTACATGCAACCCTAATCCGTGAGACTACAATAGACTCTTCGACCCCCAAGCTCAAGATTCTGAAGGCTGCCCCGGCCTGCGGCAGCTCCGTGAAGGTGCGCTTATACTATACTGGTACAGATGTTGTGATATGATGCTGCTAGTACGCACTATAGCAAGTAGTATACTTGAACATATTTACTACTGGTTTAGGGTTTGGGGTTAGCTTCGGACTCGAGTTCGTTGGCTTTGGATGATATTTTAGGGTTTGGGGGTTCTGTTGTGCGGTGTGGTTGTTGGAGGATACATGAATGAAACCCTTAGCTAGAGTGCGCCCTGCACAAAGGGTCGCTCTCAATGGCGATCGCAACCTTATTGCTCTTTAGATTCGTTCCCACGTTCCCTTCGTAAAAAGGGGATGGTTGAAGTCTAGACTGCGCTGGAGTTCCGGAGCGGCCCTACGCGGATCGAATGGCTGCAATCTTGGCAAAAGCATGAACGTGGATGTCTCGTTTACACACTGCGCGGAGAAGTATTGTAGGAGTTCACAGGGAGCTGCGTTGTCACCGGATGCGCCCGAATGCCAAGCCCCAAGGCCCCAAGAGGGTGGGAAAACATGACGAGACCCCCGCAGACAGGATGGTAATTGTTTGAAGTTGATGGTGAGGCTTGCGTGGCCCGTTTTCAACGAGCCAACTGCTTCGCAAAAACAGTTTTCTATTGGATCTTGAACTGGGGCGAAGTTGTCAAGTTTGTGTGTAGCTCTAACTCCTGCAAGCAACAGCCCAGGAACTGGTGACGGTCTGTGAAAATTTGCTGGTTTAATGGCTTATCGCAGGGGATGCCGGCGCAGCAGGAGGGTCTTGGGCCCCAGGTGCACTGCACAAGTTGCACAAGCCCCAACCTTTGAGGGTGGACGAGATGGTCTCAAGAATCGTGGGTTGGGCTTCTTTTGGTTACGTCGCTGGGGTGACCCACTTGTGAAAAGAAGGTTCTCCGGCGCGATGCACGCAAGTACCATCGCTGACTGAGGCCTTTTCCACCTTCGTCCCAACATGGGACGAGCCTCGGTCCCGGTTACCGCTACACTTGCAAAGCTGATCATGCACATGAGATGCGTTGCATGCGACGCTGCAAAGTGCCTGTGCTGCGGTATGGCGCGTGCCGTGACTGAGAAACTAGCCGCGATCTATCGTGTCGCCAGTCAATTCATTGCCACCCTCCTCCCCCCCCCGCCCTTACCTGGTTCGGGAACCGCAGGCGGGGCGCTGCGGATGATGCGCTGATTATCTTATGCTGGTAAAATCAACAACCGAAATCGCCGGTTTCGCTTCCAGCGCTCTGCATTTTTCTAACTCCATGCTCTGCATTTCCCCGAGTCCGCGGTTTCTAGTTCCAAAAATCCGCAGCTCCAGTTTGTTCGACGGCCTTCGCGATTTTGATTTCCCGAATCACACTTTTCTGGGTCCCGACCCGGTCCTTGTTTGTTAAAGGTGGTGATGGAGTACGGCCCCAACGGCGAAGACCCTGCCATCAAGGTGCATGCTGGTGCAACTTTCGGGTTTGCACAAATTGTTACAACTAAGCTTGGGTCGCAGGCCGCCGAAAGCTGCACGTTCGAGCCGCCCTGGCTTGCTTAGCGGCTTAGTGGCCGGTAAGCCGCTGTTTCAGTGCAAGAGTTGGAACAGCACAGGCTGCGCGAGACGTCCATCCATCTGCAGGGCACCCTTGCGGCAATTCGCAAGGCCTGGTAGTAAGGGACATGGCTCTTCTTAGCCTTGTGGTGTCGGTGTAGATCCGCATGTGTTTGTTATGTAGTTGCGTTTCTCCTGAGCGCAAGTGCAGAGGCAAAGCGCGGCCTGCAGCTGTTCATGTCGAAGACCTTCATCTGTGGCTCAGTGGAAGATGGCAGCAAGGGATCGAGGGTAACCTGTTTGTTTCATGATCGGTTTGCTCGCCCAGGCACGTTTCAGATCCCGACGCCAGAGGCAACGGCAGCGGCCGGTCCTCGCCTTGAGGAAGTGTTGGCGTTCCTGTCCGCTACTGGGTTTGCTCGCTCTTAGGCCGGATGCTGGGCAAGGTGCCGTGGGTGTGGGATGTCAAGCTGCACGGCCATAACCTGCCGGAGCCCCAGGGAGGCTGGTGGTGGCCGTCTCGGTAGCCCGGGCAGTCAAGTGGTCCCAGGCTGCGACTCCACGCACACGAGGCTAGCCTGGAGCAGGCCTGCAAAGCAAATTGCTTGGGAAGCTCAGTTCTTGCGTGCAGAAACGATGGCAGCAGTTGCGACCTTGTCGAGCTGGAGTGGTATCAAGCCGAATTCACCAGCGACTGCGGACGGGGTCTTCGCTTCGATGACTTCATTTTCGAGCTATAGTGCAGCTTGGCTTTCCAAATTCAGTACTTCTTACTTTGTCTGCGACTATTGCCAGTCTTTCAATGAGATGAGTCAGCCCAAGACAAGAACAACCCAGTTGCCACCCTTGGAAGGATCTTTTCTTGGAAGAGCAGTGATGTGTCCAGTGCGGCTGGTCAGGAACTCCGTCGCCGAGACTCGCCGGGCAGCCATCGCAGCATCAGCTGCTTTTCGGCATGGCGCGCTGAAAAGTAGACGATCATTGCCTTCCAGGGGCTGGCGCGCGCGGAGCCGGAAAAGTCCTCGTCCAGCACTGTGATTCTGTTTCTTACAGTACCAATGTTTCTTGCATTGGCCAAGCTAGAACTTGCAAGTAGGTCTGCGGCTTTGCTTTTGTCTTTTTGACACTGCGCTCACGTTCATGCACTTGCGCTTGCACATTGATCAGGCGGTCTCAGATATCCCATCTCGTTGCAGGTCGCGGCAAGCGGTCGCACGAAGACCTCGAGGACATCAAGCCACCCGCCAAGCAGCAGCGCACCAGCGCCCGTGGCGACTCTCAGCGCGCCCAAGCCCAAGCCCCGGCCCAAGCCCCCCAAGCCCCAGCCACAGTGGCCACCGGTCCTGGTGCGGTTCCGGCAGCATCGCCGACGCCGTTCTTGCCCAGGAGGGCAGTGGCAGGAGGGGGACCTGCGGACACAGTGTGGGGAGATGGTGGTGGAGACAGCTTCGGGGCATCCCAGCACATGTCTCAGGCACAACCCCCACCCAAAAGGCAATGGGCCTTGAAAAAAGGATCTTAATTTAACGTTTTCAGCTGATGTTTTGGGGCAGGGTGGAAGTGTGGATATATGGTTGTCTGCATGAATGAAGAATCCAGATGTTCTTTCGAGCAGAGAGCCTAGAGTAGCAACACCAGCAGTCCCTCAACAAGTCGCGCTTGGAGGCACTTCCGCTCTGTTACCAAATCACCAAACCGTCTTGTAAACCACTGACCAGATGCTTCTTCCTCAGTGCGTCCAGCACCGGGCATTGTACAAAGACTGAAGCATCCTGCCTGCGAGGCGAGTTTTGGCTGAGTTTCAGGTCCGTAATTGCACGTGGCCATTGTGTCTGCTCAGCTGGGGCAGTAAGCCGCGCTGCCATGCCCCCCAGCCCGTCCCCCACCCCGCCAAAAAAAGCTGTGAGTGATTGCCACATGTAAGTGGATGTCGCAAATGTTGGTGAGCATGCTGAGCCAACATGCTGAAAGAAACTCACGGACTCATCGACAGCATTCGCCAGCTTGCTCAAGCGTTGTGAAAGTTGCCATGACCATGCCGCACGGTGCGGAATACATTCGAGACCGGAGGTAGCTTGAGTTCGCAGTGGCGTAGGGTTGTCTTGCGGACACGTGGCCGCGCATGCCAGCGAGGACAGCTCTCGGAAAGCCCGCCCCTGGAAACCTTGTCAGTTCTGCTGAGTTGCGATGCCGCGGGAATCCGAGAAGCTGATCGCTAAATTGATTCGTCAGACTGTCGCAGGACCTTGTGTCCCAGCTCAGTGATGGTCATCCCGAGGACGCCGAGGCCTGATAGAGTAGTGGAGAAGGGAGGAGTGGGCACTTGTGCACACAGTGCACAGCGCGTCCAGAAATTTTGGGCGAGGCACCGCAGGTCAGGAACCTGGCGCCGGGGCTTTCTGGCATCTCGAACAAGAGATCTTGTAACAGGAGCCCTTCATGACTCCATGCCCCCGGAAGGTGCCTCAGCACAGCAGAAGATCAACAGTTTGGAGCGGCTGGCTAACCTTCGACAGATGGCCAGGCCGGCCAAGTAACCCAGTAAACGAAGCCTTGCATTCCGGGAGGTCAACATGGGCGCTGCCGGCCATACTTGCAGACAAGTATGAGTAATTGTGAGTAGCACAGATTAGTTGGCAGATGCGGGTTTTTTTACCTTTCAAGTTTCCAGATGGCTTGGCTGAGTGCAGGATACCTAAACAAGACATCCAACAAGAGCTCCGATGCCGGGCCTTGGAGGCGAGCAAGTCTTCATCGTCGCCTGCAAGGAACTGGGAGCTTGGAACCCTGCAGAGGCCCTTGGTGCTCGTAGTTGGTACCGCTCCTGCAGCAAACCATGTTCACCACCAAGACTAGGGCCACTATGCGCTACCAAATCTTCGTGGCCCAAAAAACCTCCAAGCCCCTGAACCACGAAGCTGTTGACCCTAATGTGTCAGATGTGTCTGCCAGGGGTTCACAACCAAGGCTAGGGTCCAATAATCTTGTTCGATCCCCATTTCCAATGGCAAAGCCCTCCAAAACCCCCAAACGTGAAGCTTTTTGACCCTGAAGTGTCTGCCAGGCCCTGCGTTGCTTCACACCGCGAGACTTCCACGTTAGACTTCAAAGCTCACGGCTTTAGAAGTCCACCGCGGAAACGTCGCGGTGGATGTGAAACAAGGTCAGTGAAGCTGCCAATCGGCAGCAGGACGGCTCCCTTCTGTTTGTTTTGGGATTTTGGGGGGGACTTTTGATATTAGATTGGAACCCTGGCATCCAGTTGGAGAATCTCACGTGCAGAAAGAGACATGGCAATAGCTAGAATATTGATCATGGCTTTTCCGCAATAGTCATGGAGACTCAGGGCTTATGTTATGTGTGCAGACAACTCAAGCTGATGCCACGGCTTAAGAAGGATGTGCAGGGTAAACACGTGAGAAGCTTGATGATAGCTGTCGCGGTGCCGAGTACTGCAATACTTTGACATTTTTCGGGATGCTCATGTTGATAGCAATCAAAACATGTTCAAAGAGTGTCATTTGGGTGTGTAAGGAGCTGCCGGAATCCCCGTCGCTGTGGCCACGGACCACGACCTTGAATTCAGTCCTCGCGTGAAGGTGAGAACCTCTTCAGGTTCCCACCTTCACGCGAGGATTGGCTTCAAGGTTGTCATCCAGGGCCACCGTGGCAACTGCTCGACTCCTACAGGCCTGTTTGTGTCTGTGTGTGTTGATGGCCTCAGCCGAAGCAGGCGCCATCACCAAACATTGACGTTTGCCGGCTCTATGAACACTGTTGCCAAACAGATGGCTGCTGTCCTGCAACGCATGCAAAAGTAAAAGTGAGTTGTTCAAGAACCACAAGGACTGACCACCAAAAAGCACAAATCATGCGGATATCATTGCCCTCACGGCAATCCCCGCTAAGAGGGGCTTAGTAATATCACATAAATGACCTTCTCCCTAGACTAGCTCAGAATCCCAATCGACTGACTTTCCTATTTTGGCCACCGAAGTTTGCACATATTGGACCGAGCTAGGGCTGGATCATGCTGGAGCCACTGACAGTCAGAATGCAACCCCAACGACCCTGGATTAGGCTTACCGGAATTCTTGCAAAAATCTGGGAGCCCCTGTAGGTTCTTGTTGTCACAACATATGTCTTACAGCAAATGTGCGCGTGCAAGCGAGGTGGAGCTTCCGGTGGATGCAGATGCTTGGCAGGAGGACGAGGCCGAGGCATCCCGAAGCTGTCGTGATCAGTGCTCCGCCATTCCTCCGAAACTCTTAGAACAGCAATTCCCGAAATGAACTGGAGAAGCTTGATTGAACGATGAAGTGAAACGCTATCTTTCTGGATTAGGAGAGACTCGAGAGCTGTAACGCATGTTCTGGAAGCACTCGAGTCAGATGCTGTTGCGCCTTTGGTCCGTGTTGTTTGTCGTGCAGCCGAGGGTTTGCCGACTTCACGTTTGCTTTGCGCGACTCATCAAGAGAAGACAAATTCTCAAGCGCCCTTGCAAGGATGACAACGGGTGTACTGCATAGTAAAGAGTATGTAGGGAGGAGTTTTAAGCAGGCATTGTTGAGTGGCACATTATGCTATGACTATTTCGGGATTCGGTTGCTACATGCTTCTCACCCAAGGGGATCATAGGGGTTGGTTCCCATACCAGGGCCTTTACAGTGGCAGCCATGGTTTGTGCCATGGAAGTCGTCTTCAGTGTGGATTGCTCCTGCACAGCACCAGGCCTGCGGCCTGGAGAGGGTTTTTTTCAAAGTATGGCGCAGCTGCCATACTTGCAGACAAGTGCGAGTAATGTTGAGTAGCAGCGATTAGTTGGCAGATGCAATCCTTACCTTTGGATTTTCAGCAAAATTACCCGGTAGCGGCCGTTTCAGATGGCTTGGCTGAGTAATTCGTAGGTAGAGATTCCAGCAAGAGTTCTGATGCCGGGCCTTGAAGGCGAAAATGTCTTCATCGTCGGATGCTGCAAGGAGCTCGGCAATTGGAACCCTTCAGAGGCCTTGGTTCCTCCTCTTCATGCAAACCTTATGCCACTCCTCCAGCAAGCCGCATTCACAACCAAGATCAGGTCCACTATATACTATACTCCCAAGCTTTGTTCACCCCCCATGAAGGACCCGACCCAAAACCATGGAATGACCTGCATTCAAGATGAGCCAAAAGCCCCTCCCCCACCCAAACCCGAAACTTTTGACCCCAAAGTATCTGACAGGCAGTGCCCTGTTTCACATCCAGCGCGGCGTTTCCGCGTTGGACGTCCAATGCTGTGAAGCTGCCAATCGGCAGCAGGACCACTCCTCTGTGGATGTTTTTGGGGTGTTGGGGGAACTTCAAACTTTTGATTTTGGCTTGGAATCTTGGCATCCAGTTGCAGAATCTCAGAAAGAGACATGGCAACTGCTCGAAGATTGGTCATGACCCTTCCACAATCGCCATTGGGGCGAATGTATGCAGTCAGGGCACCCCTGGCACAACTCAAGCTGATGCCACGGCTTGAGAAGGATGTACACGGTGAACAAGTGATAAGGTGAATGAGAGCTGTCCCCGTGCCGATACTTGTAGTAGTACTTTGATACGTCTCGAGGTAGATGAGCACGTTTTCTCAATCCGCCTTCACGCGAGGATGGAATTCAAGGTGGTGATCCGTGGCCACCACGGCTGGCGCTGGGAGCATGGCGAGAACCGACTCCTGGAGGCCTGTTTGCGTGCGTGGATGCGCTTTTCCGATGCCAGATCGCAAGCACGCCGCCGTTCTCCGGCCTCAGCCGATGCAGTCGCCATCACCAATCCTTGATGTTTGCCGGCTCTATGAACACTGTTACTAATTAGGGTTCAGGGTTTAGGGTTTAGGGTTTAGGGTTCAGGGTTCATTTTTTTGAAAGATGGCTGCTGTCCTGCAAGGCATGCAAAAGTGAGTCTGTCAAGAACCACCAAGACTGACACCCCAAAAGAACGCAAATCATGCGGGTGTCCATTCCCTCGCCTCAATGCCTGCTAAGAGGGGCTTAGCAATATCACATATTCATAAAACCCTAAACGCTAAACTAATGCAGAATCCCAATCGACTGCCAAGATCAAAAGTGAAAGCCTTTCCTAGTTTTGGCCACCGAAAGTTGCAAGTTTTGGACTCAGCTAGGGCTTTGATTGTGCCGGAGCCACTGACCTTCAGAATGCAACTCCAACGGTTGGGTTGGCTTACCGGCATGCTTGCAAATTTGGGAACACCTGTAGGTACTTGTCGTCATCACAACATAAGTCTTGCAGCAATGGTGCACGTGCACACTAGGTGGAGCTCCCGATGGATCCAGAGGCGCACGCGTGTCGACAAGCTGCGTGCGATTAAGGTCGTGACTTGCTCTTGCCGCTGCATCCCACATCTGTAGTGCATATTGAAAGAAGATTACTGCCGTCTTTGTTGTCCTGGATTGTTTAAATGTTCACGATCCGATCGCTTGGTCTCAGCTTCCAAGAACGAGTAGTAGCAAGCATTCCAGACCACATTTCTGGAGGCGAAGAAGCTTGTGACCATGGCGTTCGGGCAGCAAGGCATCAAGGCATCCAGAGTAGGGAAACCCACGGATTGTTATTATGTTGGTACTGCACAAGAATGATTGATCTCCTTTTTTGCCCGAGATCTGCGAGTGGTATGCGGTGGCTCAGCCCCAAACCTTAATTAAACTTTAGGCTTTAGGGCAAGGGGGGCGGCCCAACAGAAGCAGTAGGTTTTGCCAGCCTGGGTCCACGCAGGATGTAGATGCCGTTGAATCCGCCGGGGCCTCGGGTTCGGTGGCCTCGGGTTCCGTTAGAGAAGTTACGTGCACAGGGTCCACTTTCAGGACAGGGCTAGGCTTTGCAACACAGGCCGGCACCTGTCCCGCTCGCGAGGTCACATGACACACACACACACACACACAAGAGCCTAACTTGTCTCCCAAAGAAGTCCTCCTCCCCGGCCTTCCGGCTGTGCACACGCTCCCCACAAGAACTCATTAAGCATGCTCATGAAACCCTCACGAATGGCAGATCCACGTTGCGTTTTCCTGGCCCAATGGCCCTACGCACATCACCTTGTAGAGCCATAACATGCCTCGCGCATGGATTGAAGGAAGAAGCAGCAACTCATGTTGCTCAAAAAAGATTGCCCAAAGCCTTGGGCGAGGAGCGGACCGTGTGGCCCCTAGTTTGTGACTGTGTGGCCGCTGGGCATGTGGACTGTGCAGCTGCAAGTCTGTGCGACATCTTCCAGCTGTAACTGAACTTGTGAACCATCGCTTCCGTGCGAGGGTTGGAGTGCCTCTGACTCAAGCTGCAGTGCCGGGTCCATCTGTACTCGTACCCTCTACGTTTTCGTGAGCACAGGAACTGCCCACGTTGCCCATGCTGCTGGGCCAGCCGGTGCAGCCCGAGATCAAGGCCGCCGCTTTGCGGCTTGCAGATGCTTGGGACGTGAGTTCGGCGCTTCTCCTCTTGCGGCAAGAACGACCATCAAGCACACCTTTGGATGATGTGTAAGTCGGCAAGGCCTGGCGTATGTACTCAACACCAACATACACATACACAAACACACACACACACACACACACACACACACACACACACACACACACACACACACACACACACACACACACACACACACACACACACACACACACCACACACACACACACACACACACACACCACCACCACACACACACACACACACACCGACACACACCGACACACAGACCCACACAGACCCAGACCCACACAGACCCACACAGACCCACACAGACCCACACACACACACACACACACACACACCACCCACACACACACAACACACACAAGAGAGCTCGTAGATAACTTCAAAACAACTAGCAAAAAACAACCACCACACACACACAACACACACACACAACACACACCACACACACACACACACACACACACACACACACACACACACACACACACACACCCACACACACACACACCCACACACACACAACCACACACACAACCACAGACTAACCCCACAACACAAAACACACACAACACAAAACACACAACCCACACAACACAAACGCCACACACACAACACACACACAACACACACACACACACCACACACACACACACACACAAAAAAAAAACACACAACACAAAACACACACACACACACAACACAAAACACACAACCCACACAACACAAACACCACACACACAACACACACACACACACAACACACACACGACACACACACAACACACACACACAACACACAACACACAACACACAACACACACACACAACACAACAACACACACAACAACACACACAACAACACACACAACAACACACGCAACAACACACGCAACAACACACGCAACAACACACGCAACAACACACGCAACAACACACGCAACAACACACACACACAACAACACACACACACACACACGTTGACTTGTCTGGAACTGATGAGACGGACTCTCGACTGGATCAAACATCACATCATCATGAGGGTGAAATGAAGAATTTTGTGCCAACCTGTGCCAGACACCAGGAATGGCACAAGTAATACCAAATGAGATGATGCCAATGAGGGGTATGGGTGCAGCCCATGTTGCACCAGACACCGGGAATGATGCAACGCGAAGTGAGATGGAAGATGAACGAATGGTGAGGTCCCCCAAGCTACTCCCGCAGGAGTCCATGGGCAGACAAGAGCAGGTACGTTTGCACGGGTTGGGGAGGGGGGTCTTCGTTGACCGGGACCCCCTCCCCACCCTCCCGGTCCCCTGCAAGTGAAAACAAAGCCAAGAAGGGTGTGACCCCAATCCTGCATGTACAGCAAGTTACACACACACACACACATGCCCCGAAGGGCAGTGAGGTGTCTGCCTGTCATCGTCGGCATCACACAGAGCAGCATCATGCCCCGAGAGGGCGGACAGGACAAAGACATGTCACATATCTTGAATCGGAGAACAGGCGAGATAGATCAGCACCACAACCGGAGGGAGCGCAGCAACATTTTACCAACACTAGCAGAAGGGAACATGCCATGGCAAGCACATGAACAACGACCAACAAGAGTGCAGAGAAGATCCACCAACACCAACAAGAGGGAGAACAACACCACTTTACCAACATTAGCGGGGAGGACATGTGTCCGTACCTGATGCAGCCTCAGTCAAACTACCTGTTCACAGCTGACGGTGCATTACGAAAGTCACAAAGCAGTGCCGTCCGGGTACCCCTGCGTCTGCAATTTGGATGATCCCGATGACATGTCTGTGCTCGCACTCACTCATGTCACAAAGCCTACTGCAGATGATCCCGATGAATGAGTATCTCAGCCAGCAGAGCTCAGTCAATCCCGGATGCCCGGGTCTGCTGGGATCTGGCCCCGTGACGGGACAACACGCCAGAACCATACACACGTTGACTTGTCTGGAACTGATGAGACGGACTCTCGACTGGATCAAACATCACATCATCATGAGGGTGAAATGAAGAATTTTGTACCAACCTGTGTCAGACACCAGGAATGGCACAAGTAATTCCAAATGAGATGATGCCAATGAGGGGTATGGGTGCAGCCCATGTTGCACCAGACACCGGGAATGATGCAACGCGAAGTGAGATGGAAGATGAACGAATGGTGAGGTCCCCCAAGCTACTCCCGCAGGAGTCCATGGGCAGACAAGAGCAGGTACGTTTACACGGGTTGGGGAGGGGGGTCTTCGTTGACCGGGACCCCCTCCCCACCCTCCCGGTCCCCTGCAAGTGAAAACAAAGCGAAAATGGGTGTGACCCCAATCCTGCATGTACAGCAAGTTACACACACACACACACACACACACACACACACACACACACACACACACACACACACACACACACAACAACAACACACACACACACACAACACACACACACACACACAACAACACACACACACACAACACACACACACACACCAACACACACACCAACACACACACACACAACAACACACACACACAGACACCCCCACACCACACACAACACACACCCACACACCCCCACACAACCCCACACACCCACACACACACACACACACACCCACACACAACACCCCACCACACAACACCCACACACACACACACACCCAAGCACACATCACACACAACACACCACACCCAACCAACACACACACCCACACCACACCCCACACACACCCACACACACACACCACCACACCAACACACAACACACTACACCCACCACCCCACACACCACCCGCCAAACCCCACACACACACACACCCACACCCACA